ACTCCGTCTTGCAGCACATCAGTTGCAGAGCAGAATTTCAAGTCAAGTTATCCATTGCAATTCTCCTAACAATACTACAAGAATCGGATAGATAGAGAGTGTCCTGCAAAGTCCCAATTTATACCACAACAGTAATCATATTCAGCACTGCATGGCGCAGCAGCGTCCAGGGTGGGAGTGACGGGATAGGGAACTAGGCGCCGAACCCACGTCTAAGGTCCTACGTTTAACAAGAATAATCCGTAATAATCGGCCCAAGTCAATCATGGTCCACCAATTAAGAAGCCGATCTGCGCAGGAGTACGACGAGCGGGTTCACAATACAGCATTTTCAGCAACACTTAAATCCAAAGTACGCGTCGGCACACTCACCAGAGCTAATAGCCCGTCACAAACTAGTGAGGACAACGAAACACATCACTCTACGACAGCTGGAACGCCTGCCTCCAATGCTGATGCCCTCAGTTTGTACAACATCCAAAACAAAAATACGACAAAGAGAACGAGTGCAACGCGTTGCCACGCAGGCGGTGTAGGCAATTCGAATCGTGGATCACGAGCGTAAGTGACCCGGTTCGCTGGAGGCGACCTTCGTCGTCCAATACTCGCCTCTTCGTTGGCAAGATCTATAGACGACGGCCTCGACTCAGGCTCGGTTGGTAGACGCTCATATCGACCCGAAGACATGGAGCGGAATACGAGGAAGCACGACAGATAACCAAGCAATGAAAGGAGCGGAAGTGCAAGTGGGTAATGGGAAAGGCTACTTCTTCTGAATGAATATATATAAAGCACTATACGCGTGACATTATTAAATTTATTAATTACATAATTCACTCTGCTATGGTAGCCGATACCCGCCTTCGTGCGTCCTGCCCCCCTAACCTTCTCCTAATCGTTTGATTGAAACACCTTGAAGTTCTCTATTAGGATCTTGAAACCTGTACCATTGCATCCCTCCTCCAATTATGCTTAGTCTTATGATTCATTCCATCACAAGACGTACACGGTTGCTTAGCAACACAACAAAGTTGCTCGCCACTTGGGACATAAGTACGTTATGCTATGATTCTCACAAGCATTTTGCTTCCCCATTTCTCTCTGCAAAAATTAAGGACGAGAAAATTTGGGTCCTACTACCCTACAGCAATTCACACTACAACTTACATTCAGTATTGACCCACAAATCAGTAGTTATGTTTAACAGCATTTATACCTACCTGAGTCCTGCAAACAACAATACGCAGCAAGATTCAATCAACAATACGCAGCAAGATTCAAACAACAATACGCAGCAAGATTCTGTCTTTGGGAACGACGAATTCCCTCCGTCTCTTACTGAAAAGAAGCTTCATTACAATACAAAGCATGCAAAAGTGCTCAGAATGGACGAGTTTGGCCCAGTCTATGTATGACGTTGTGAAAACTTATGCCCACACGACTGACATAAGATCTGCTTGATTCTCAGCTTGTCAAGTATACACATCATAGAACTGGAAGCAAAAGAGGGGAAGTAGAGCTTAGAAAAATAAGTAAGCTCCTGTGTGACACAACCATTCACACAGAGCATAGACATGAAGGCCATCAAACAGGAGAAGGAGACGAGAACAATCCTAGTGTCTCACAGCATGAATTAGTAGTTCTTCCTAACGAGATTACAGTAATCGAGTCATGTGGACTCGCAAATAACCCATACCTTGTAAGTCTTGGAATGCCTGGAGCATGTATCTAACTGTTGTCTTGTTCAGATGCAATTTTATGAATCCTTTGCAACAGATAAACATTTCTATATATCTATTGAACATATTACAGGAAGACCACTCCTAGATGAGTTGATTGGTCGTGAGAGACTGTATGAGAAAGACGTAATTGCAGCTGTAAAGTGGGTTGTCCCTTGATTGAATAGAACAGTGTACATCACTTTACAGTTTGAACTACAGAGACATGCTTAATGCCTTGCAATTTCTTCATGAACAAGGTATTGTACAGGGAAACGTCAGGTGGGCCCATCTTGTTGCATATCTATATGTATATACGAATTTCAATCGTAAAACAATCAGGCCGGAGGCGTTCAAATATCGAGAAGCACATGAAGACCCAGACGCCAGACCCAGACTCGTTTTAGTACTCTTCACATAGTCTGTACCTCTATTCATACTCCACGGGAACCTTAAACTAAATACACAATTCCAGCACTCGAAGCAAGGACAGTCCTAGTCATTTACCCACCCCACCTTTCGATAGATACTGCGATCCTAAATATGCAAAAGCTAGAGTGCACGAAAAGCATTACAATAAGTGGATTGACTGGTCACACATACAACCAGATGAAGAGATGGATATGTGGGGGATTGGGTAGGCCTGTATCTCATAATCTCACATTCTGCACAGGCCTGACAGAGTAACACTTGATGCTAGTATAATAACTCATCTACTTCTGACAGGTCATTACCCATTTGTTGATTACGTGCACCAATTGGAAGAGAAGAGAGAAGATGACAGTACTGACTATAGGGACAAACATAGTAATCCTAGTCAAAAGCCCAGCATTAGTGCATCCTATTATGATGAAAATGATGAAGCTACAAATATTGACAAAGCATACCTCAGGAACGTGGTAGATAAAAGGGTCCGTTATCTAAAAAGTCACAAATACTGGGAAAATGTTTCAGACAAAGGTAAGGTCATATTGTATTTATTTCAACAGAACTATCTTAATTACAAATTGTTGATCGGTTGTAGCTAAAGATTTTCTGCATGGCGAGCATAGTAGTAGTAATCAAGATCACAATAGCAAATGTGGATTACTTATTAAGAAGAAGAGTATGAGGATGTTAACAGTAACTGCTCTAAACCATCCTGTTTGTCTGATTACAAGCAGATTTCCTAAGACACTTTGTGTGCTGACACCGATATTGTTTTAATTTTGTTTAGTGGCTCAATGGGCTTGAGTCTATTAATGCAGATCTACCCGGCTTGCGCATGCAGGCTGAGAGGATAAAACAGAAAGGGGGGGAGAAGAAAAAGATGAAAGAAAATATAATACAATCTCAGCCTACAAACAATAGGTCTAGTAACAGCAAGGCACACATACACAGACGTGACGACCACTCAGAAACTGGAGCTCACCGTCATAGTAGTAGTATCTCGGTTAAAGCTGTTACAAGCAACTCAGGTAATACTACAAAGGGTAGTATAAGTTTACCTAGTAATTCTCAAAGACAACAAGGAAGAAGCACAAGTATTCACAGTAAGAATAGGAGTTCAGTAGACAAATCTGTGAGAGACAAACCATTTGAACATGATAGTCCATCAACCAGTACGAGAGATGGACTCAGAGGAGGTAAACATGGTAGTGCAGGTATAGGAGGGATTTGAGACTAGGTATCTGAATCTTGTTGTTTCCTGTGAGTTAATAAATTTGTAAAGAGGTGGAAAATAGTTTGCAAACCTGTACAGTAGTGATACATCTATTCTTGACTTAGACAAGCTCTCAATAATGTAGAGATTTTTACTGAAGCAAAGTCTTTGTGTTTTGGTAATTAGATTAAAGGATCATTGTGATAGAAAGGTGAAAACTTAAACAGCAATTCCTCCTTTTCTCCTTTATGTGTACTCTTTATTCGAGCAATTCCCTAATTATGAGTAGGGATGGTGTACAATGTTTGCCTGTCAGGGGTGTTTCCGTGCTGCAAAAAGGGGTTGAAGCATTTCTTGCATAAGCTGTGCGATTATATGATAAATTCGGAATTTCCCGTTGCTGTGACTGACTTTATCGTTCCGTTGCGCCTTGACTCCCCGAATTGAAATAACCTGAAGCTTTTCATGAGGGTCCTGGAATCGTGTGCATTGCATCCTTCTCCCGATTATCGTTAGTCCAATGATACATTGCGTCATGTGGCGTCCATCGATCCCTGCTCAGAGGGACCAAGCCCTACCTTGCGACGCAGCAAAGCTCTTTATCTCTTGGATAAGTAGGTTGCGCCCTGATGCTCAGACAGTTTGCCTCTCCACTTCGTTCCGCAAAGATAGTATCCAGGTTATCTGTGTCTGGCTATCCTGTAGCGATTCACGCCACATCTAATATTCAGCAGTGGTCTGCAAACCAGCGGTCGCTCGGTAGTATTCACGCATGTCCGAAAACAACGACGATAAAAGGCGAGAGTCGGTCTTCCGGGGCGACAGTTTCTGTTTAGCCAGCTACAAGAAACTTCAGTATGTTACAAAGTATGCAGAACTCCTCAAAGAAGACGAGTTTGGTCCTGTCTATGTATGGCATCAATACTGTTAAAACTTGCGTATACACGACTGACTTCGGCTCCCAGCTTGTCAAATATAAAGGTATTGGACTGGGGCATAAGCACAAACACGAAGACGTGGAGCTTAGGAAAATAAGGAAGCTCCCGTACGACTCGAGCTCCCAGGACGAGCCTGAACTTGAAGCTCTACAAAGAGAAGAAGGAAACGACAACGATCCTGATGTCATTGATGTGAAGGAACTTACAAGGCCATCAAAGCCCAAAGGCATTTATAAAAGACATCCGAAAATCGTGGATAGGGTGCACGAAGCACGTTTCCGTAACGAAGCTGCGATACTCGAGTCATGTAGAGTTATCGCAAAAAACCCGTACCTTGTAAGTGTCGGTATGCCTGGAGTGCATGTATCTGACCGTCGCCTTGTATAGATGAGATTTTATGATTTCTTTGAATCAGATAAGCATTTCTATATAACGATTGAGCATATTACCGGAAAATCGCTACTCGATGAGCTGATCGATCGTGAGAAGTTGTACGAGAAAGATGTAATTGCAGCTGTAAAGTAAGTCGTCTTCTCACTGGCAAGTACAAGATCCATCATTTTGACAGTTCGACCTTCGATCTAAAGAGACATGATTAACGCACTCAAATTTCTTCATGAGAATGGTATTAAGCAAGGAAACGTCAGGTGAGCCAGTGTCTTACTATTTGTTTACTTATCTCACAATTTTCAATCATGGATCCAGACCGGAGGCGTTCAAATATCGAGAAGAGCATGAAGGTGCAGTGGCCAGACTCAGGCTCGTTTTAGTACTCTTCACACAGTCTGTATCTCCATTCAGGATTCATGTGAACCCTAATCTAAATGCACAATTCCAGCGCTCGAAATGAGAATAGTCCTAGCCATTTACCTCCCCCGCCTTTCGATAGATATTGCGATCCTAAGTATGCCAAAGCAAGATGTCGAGCGAAGTATTCTGATAAGAGGGTTGACTTCGAGAAAGTCGAAGTCGTTAATGAGATGGATATGTGGGGGGTTGGGTAAGCCAGATTATGGTATTTTCTCGCATTCTGGCTATCCCTGACAGAATGACCACGAATCCTAGTGTGATAACGCATCTACTTCTGACAGGTCATTACCCATTCGTTGACTACGTGCATAAGTTGAAAGACAAAGGAGAAGGAAACGACACTGATCGCAGGGAGGAAGGCGGCAGTACTGACCAGAAACCCGGTATTAATAGTATATATTATGATGAAAATGATGAGGCCACAAACATTGACAAGGCGTACCTCAGAAATGTGATAAATAGAGAGAATCTTTACTTGAAAAAGCACGAATACTGGGGAGACGTTTCTCGAGAAGGTAAGGATAGTGACGCATTTATTTTAACAAAATTGTCTTAATCGTGAAACGAATGATTCTAGCTAAGGATTTCCTACATGGCGAGCATGGCAGTGATCAAGACGGTATTGGCAAGAGTGGGCTACTTTTAAAGACAGCGAACTTGAGAATGTCAGCAAAGAATGCTCTGGCCCATCCCGTTCGTCTAATTCCGAGCGGATTACCCAAATTGCTTCGTGTGCTGACGCGAACATTGTTTAGTGGCTCAATGGGTTTAAACCCAATGATATAGATTTACCCGGACTGCGTATGCAGGCGGATAGAATAAGGAGGAAATTTGTGAAGAGGAAAAAAGCGAAAGAAGAAATGACGCAACCACAGCATACGCATGATGAGACTAGTACTGGCCGAGGGCGCAAGGACAGGAGTGGGCACCACTCAAGACACAGAATCCGTAATCATATGTCTTCGATCGGACAACAGAAGAAACGTAGCTCCCATCAGAGTTCCCAAGACAAAAGTGACAGTCCAAATAGTAGTATTTCGTTCGAATTCATTACAAGCGACTCAGGTGATGTCAAGAAGGGTAGCTTAAGTCCGCCCAGCGATTCTCAGAAAGAGAAACATCGGGGAAGAAGCGAAAGTGTCCGTAGCAAGAATAATAATTCAGCGGGCGAATCTGCAAGGGTGAAACCATTTTTTGGATATGATTATGGCCGACAATCCAACGCGACGAATGGGTTTGGAGGTGGGCGTGGTGGTGGTGGTGCAGGTCTTGGGGGTGTCTGACACGGAGTATTTGACATCCTTAATATTGTCTCCTGAATCCTGTCAGTCCGTCATCTGGCATAGTGGTAGAAAATAACTCACAAACCTATACAGCGGCGATATATTGTGTTGTGGTGCATTTGGTACAGAAAGTAGGAGGTGTGTGTAATTGCAAGTAGTATCAGATGTTCAGACATACATGTTGAAATATGTAGATATAGAGCTGTCAGCTGTATCTTTATTATTTATTTCTTTTAAATTTGACTAAATGTGACATGAATCATGTGATGCGTGTTGTACAACACAGTGGCAACTTGCGCCGAGCGTTCATTTTGACAGTCTTCATCTGCTGGCGGGATACACATTAGACAAAGCGAATATTCTCACTGAGCCCTTCTTCCGACATGAGGCCCCAGACTTCCTGGTGTTCAGTATATGGTTGACACTGTGAGTAGAAACCCACTGTGCTACTAGACGATCTTAGGACCCTGCTTCCCGCATCCACCTTTTTTAACACAGGATGTCGCACCAGTTCAGTCTGTTTCTTCAGTCTCACTTGCAAGCATAAGCCTCAACTAATCTATCTGGATTTTGGAGCTTTCCATGGTGCCTGATCCTAGTTTGTACTGTCTCCGCAGGAACAGTCCGGAAAAGCATTGCACGTACTGGACAATCCGGACCGTCACAACGGCTCACGAGATGTCTCTCCAATTTATCTACGTAAGAAGTCGTATTTCGCTGGCTATAGCTTCTTCCTTTCTTGGCGGGAAAGCTGGACTTACTACCCACAATACATACTGCAAGCATTGGAATACAAATCTTACTTGAGTCTATTTTACTGGTAGCGAAGATTCTCTAATTTCTGTTCGCCGTCCGATATATTCAGCTTCAGGAAACGGGTAAGGTCCCAGAATCCAAATCACTTAGTCTTGGTTGCTTTGTTTCAACGGAATTTCCTCGTGGATAGAGTCCCAACTTCCATATTTCGGCATGGTCATACAGCTTCTCTACATTTCCTTTCATCAAAGCGGGCCGCAATTGCATGTGCTTTCGACAAAGCCCAATTCCTTTTGATGTACAATCCGAAGTATCCTGCCACGTATCATTAGTTCTCTCTTTCTTTGATGACCTGGTGATGATTATTCTCGAATATATTCTGGAAACTCACTTAAGTTAAAACGATCATCGAGTCTCCTAGTTCTCCCAGGCCAACCCACCCATCCAACCTCTAGTCACAATGCTATTGACTTTTGTAGCACTTGCAAACCTATTTCTTCCATTCGTGCATGCATATGTTGGTTTTACCAACCCTCTCAAATCAACAGATGGAAGTGACCCGTTCATGGTCCATAACGATGGATTCTACTACCTGCTCACGACAACATGGTCAAATGTACAGATCACAGGTGCGGCGACAATCTCGGGACTCAAGACTGCGACACCAACAGTTGTTTGGTCTGACTCGACGGCGGTGCGTAGCTTTGATCGCCGTGCATTTCGGACTAGCAATAATTTCTGGTATCTGTAGAGTCGCTGTTGCAACGTCTGGGCACCAGAGCTCCATCAAATTGACGGAATGTGAGTTCCGTTATTCTCTGATCGCTCCCTCTGTTCTGATGCCTCTAAAACTTGGTGTAGATGGTACATTTACTACACTGCTGGCGTGAGCACAAATATTAACAACCAGCATATCAATGTCCTTCAAGGTATTGCTTACACTTTGATAATCCTGCTTTGCCTCGTAGTTTCTCACTTACGTCACTTCAGGAGGGACGAATCCTATGGACGCCTATTCCTGGAAGTCTACCATCATACCTGACGTTTGGGCAATTGATGCAACCGTTGCGAACCTTGCCAATGCGTGGTATATCTTCTTCTCAGCTACTAGTCCGAATGGCCTGCAGAGCCTGTACGGTGCGAAGATGGCGAATCCGTATACTGTGACGGGAAGTTATTCACTCATTTCCGAGCCAACGTTGAGCTGGGAACGTGATGGAGCGGCAGTGAATGAAGGACCGCAGGTATTAATTAACGGAACAAGGGCTTGGATGACGTATTCGGCTTCGTACTGTGAGCAATGCATTTACTGCAAAATCTACCCCCGCATTTGTCTTATAATGGATTCCATCGCTATCAGGTTGGACGGATGGATATTCTCTTGGTCAACTTACTTGGACAGGAGGAGATCCGCTCTCAGCCTCATCTTGGGCAAAGTACACAGCCGGTCCAGTATTTTCAAGCGCCAATGGAGACTACGGTCCTGGACACAACGGTTTCTTCACAAGTCCGGATGGCTCCATGACCTACATTGTTTATCATGCATCTGCGACGAGTGATGTCGCGTGTGATGGAACTCGCCGTACATTTGCTCAACCTGTATATTGGCATACGGATGGTAGGTTGATCATCTAACTGAGATAAACGTTATGTTAATGAAGGACTAACGGGCTCTACTTTTTGAAGGATCACCGAACTTTGGAGATCCGAGGCCTGTATCCGACTTGATCCCAGTACCTCCAGGTGATGGTTCGTAGAGAAGATGCGTGACACTTGCTTCCATACTGAGTGTACTTCAAGAGTTTGTCCAATTGGAATGTGGTTCTCGTTAGACTGAAGCAACGGCTGAGATGGAATGACCTTCCCTGCGTTCCTTTGTCAACCCATGTTACTCATGGGCGCCTTAAGTTTTGGTCAATATTAAAAGAAGCATGGGTCAGTCATCCAACGCCAGTATAACGCTTCGTATCAAATCGGACTTCAGCTGAGACACTGCGATTGTGATTGAACCTGTCAACTAACGACACACTGAGCAGGATCAGACAAGTAAAGCCTGACACACGAAGGCCATTAAAGCCGGCAGAAAAAGAAGCTGCATTGTACGAAGACATTGGTTTGGAAATGTCAGAGTAATGCGCATAGAAGTCATCTAGACACACGCTTCTTCAAGAACATATGATCCGAGTAGAAGAATGCTAACCGGACGTATCATACTTGTCATCCGAGCGCACTTCGCATCTATTCTTCAATCCTTAGTTCGACTTCCATACTGCTTGTCAGACGCATCGCATCTATCGAAGAAGCACTAATTCAGTCGCTCAATTACTTAAAGCCTAACCCGCACCTTCCCGCGAGCCTTAAGCTCGTCCTGTACAGCATTGCGAAATCGATCCGAAAATATCATGTAGCAGATTCGATCTTCCCGCATCTGCAATACAAGTAAAACGTAAAAAACCCTTTTGACACGGGCTTTCAAAATCATTTGAATACCCATTTGTCAAGTAAGTCGCATTGAGCCTCTATCAAGAATACAAGAACCCATCCAAGGCTGACGCCACCGGGATTGATCGAAGCGCATTTCCGTACGTTTTAGGCATCGGATTAGCAGGCATGAATGAGGACTTCTGAAGAAGGCTTCTCGAGCATTGTGGCCCTGATGCTTCGATATCTGAAGCTGGTCAAATGAGTCGTCCCTGCGAGCCCTGTTCCATTAGATCCATACAATATAGTGCGACAGTTGCGTGTAATATTGATGAATTGCGATGTATTTATACTGTCGTGGGGCGGTGGATGTAGCCACACACGGAGCGTAGCACCTGAACGGGATTCAGGTGAATGTCAGGTATAAAATAACGGCGACAATGACTCGACATCAGAATGTCTGACAATATGCTAGTAATCAGCTTCTCTCTCATTCAACCTCTACACACATCAGCTTGATTGGCAATCAACAAGCTATAGACTTACTTCCCGGCTTCCTTACATCATTGAAAAACTTTTCTGCATTGAAGCCCAGCTTTTGGCATAGAATGGCAGGCTTAGCTCATTCTCTGCCTTATGTACTAAATTTAGAACTATAAAGAACAGTACTATACAAGTGCTCGAATGGCGAGTAAGTCTGTTTGACGTCTGACAGATGGTTCTGTACATTTTAGGAAGTGATATAGACAGACCGTCCTTAGTCCTATAGCTTCAGCCACAAAGACTACTGTAGCTGATGTAGTTGGCATCAATAGATAGTTAGTAAAGAAGACGTTTACTTCTTGACTCTTGAGGCAGTCCAGTCTCTCATTTACCTTGTTATGTCCACCAAAGAAGAACGAAGAAGCAATCTTTATAACACACACTTGTTCAAATCGAGCTTTATTGAGCTGCAACGAAAGAGGCAATCACACAGCTAGTAGTACCAACGTCCTTGCAAGAGCCCTTTAACACATTGTAGTAGTACTCTTTTATTAGCATATACACGCATAGGTGGAGCAGAAATGAAACGCATTCTCTTGGAGATTAATTTCCTAAATGCCTTCAATACTTACTTTTATTTATTTATTTATTGGGGGAGGGGAGGGGAGGGCAGGACTAGGTAAAATAGATGTGGCTCCAATAGTGACATTCTTACAGTCAATATTAATACAAAGTTCATCCTTGTTTTTCCACACCTCTGCTACAAGCTACAACCAGACACAGGCGCGGAAGCCGTCCATACCCGTCTTAGTATACAGTCTACGAGATATATCTGAGAAGATGTTAGATAGTCGGATAATGAATGTCAACGTCTTGCCATCGGTCGTTGGTGGGTATCAACCAAATGACACCCTACGTCCGGAAGCAGTACTATACGTCAGTCGCTACTGCTGTACCAAGCGAAAACAGATCCAAAGCGTGCCAAACAATGAAATGCAGTGCGGAACATCGGGAACTACTAACGCTACCGTTGGTATTTAGCACAAGCGCGAAGGGTTGTAAGGGGGTCCATCCGGGTTCGGGAGCTCGGTAATCGAGCTCCCGGAGAGTAAGTACACGGGAAGTAGGATAAGTGGTGGCGAAGTTATATTTTTGTAAATCGTCCATGCAGCTAGCATACAGTTGTATATAGCGGATTTGAGCGCGATGTCAAAAGCCTAGGCATAGAATTAGAAGTTCGAACTTTAGAACCACAATACAAACAACTTATTCTAATGTGTATGCGCAGCCCAGACTATGTGGCGCTCGTTCATGCGTACGCTACATTCTTCTCTTCTGCTGGCATACAGTGATGCGCCCCGCAAACTCCTAAATGATGGGATTAACTGATCGTATAAGGTAAAATAACCAAAATAATCACAATAAATAAAGATTACGAGTCTCCTTCATCCGAGTCAAAGATGAATTTATTTTTAATTTTCCTTCATCGATGGTGCATATGATCGTATGGTGTACGATACATCTAAGTCAAGGCGAAAGCCAGAGGTACTCCAAATATAACCAACTATCGAAGTTGATGGTTAGTCCGAGGGTATATCGAGATTTCCACACTCGTACCGTAACATCTTTACATATTACACAACGATAATACTAAGAGATCTGCACAACGTAAAAAGAGGCGTTAACACGGTCGTTTCTCCGAGGGTGAGAATATTAATAACTTCCCGTAGGCAGTGTCGAGCAATCCCGAGATGAAAGGGAGAGATACGCACTTACTTGAAAGTCCGTCGGGCCGTCTCCTCCTTGATAGTGACTCGCAAATTGCATTACATGTACCTTCTAAGGCCGTTGCACATATGAACGGAGGGCCTTCGGCGTATCTATCCGCCCACAAACGACCAAACTACCAAGCCCCGTCTCTCATGTGAACGATCGGACGGATTCGCACACAAGTCAATTTACTCCCATATCTCCGTAGTAGCTTCAAGAAGGAAGAGATGTTCTTGTCTTCCCGAGGTTTAGGCTTGTACCTGTGCACACTCGCATCCACGCACGTCTTACATATGAATCTCTCGTGAATAGACGTCAATAAGGCGATGCCGTAGGGATCGATCGTCCATACTAGGATAGTCCGTTCTTAATTTGGATATCGCTCGGAGATACGGGCGTAAGGAATCTAAGAATAAGTAAAGAAACGAAGCAAGGTGAGGGGCAACGCACGACGTATGTGGTAAATCCATTACGTCAGTGGCTTGGCTTGGCCTAAGAGACAGTGAGTTCATACACACGAGAGGTATGAGGAATAATAATATACCATCACGATCATGCAGTATGGCCTCCTATACGCCTGAGTTATTCCAGGTCCTCTCTACGTATACAAGCCAAGAGTGCTATTGCGAGAGTGCATACATCCAATCTATGCATCTATGTCTCGCTTGCTTCTTCCGAGCAACCTACGAACACAACAGCTCCCGTCTGCTTTACGGAACGTACAATAAGCCGAAACATTAATGACCGGAGCTAGCCGATTTTCGTTCGTTCTCATTCCGTCCTTCTCTGTCACAACAGGCCTCATAGGAAGAAAGAAAGGAAAGGGAACGAAGACTTTGTAAGAGACCAGGTGACCCGTTCGGAAGATTCGGGCTTGTTTTCTCGGATCCATTAGAGTAAGTTCTTTGAGCTTCCTGCACGAAAAACAACTGGATCTCGTGGTGCATGATGCATTTGAGAAATTAGCTTAAGTTCAGGAGTCAAGTTGAATAAGCTTGAACTCTCTGGAGAGAAATTCGTATAAGTCCAAATCTGGTGAAAGGCTGATTTCGATGATAGCTGATTCCGAAGGACCGATAGCACAGAAAACGTCCGGTGGAGAAAAAGAAGAATAAGCACAGCACTAGACAGAATTTGAGAGGACATCCAATATGTCACCGTTAACCCAATCACCCTGGGCTACACATAACCCAACCCATCCGCGTTGCGATTACAGTTCCACTTGAACAGGTCGTCTCTGACTTATCGTGTGAAATTCCACGGGAGGTGCGCACAAAGTTCGCATATCGAAATACACAAAATTAAATTGCAAGCTCGACGTCGAAGCTTACGGTGAGACTTCCAACACGATTAAGCGAGCGAAGATCGTTAGTCAGTAAGTAAATGCAACGAAACGAAGTGAGACGAAAAGAGAGATATGAACGATTGCATATGCTTTTCTTGACTTTTGACTGAAACTGTAATAATAACCATAAAGCGAGCCGAGCAGCCGCGTTGAGTGAGCCGGAAGGAAAAGCAGATTCCCCCGACGTCCCGACCCTCCGAATCCGAAGCACGCGACCCAAAAGCTAATTAGAGCTCACATCACCGCATCACCTCTCTCTCACCCATATCGCTCGCACATCGCGATGCAACGCCTCGCTTATTTCGACATGTTTTCTCGATCTAGCAACTCTCCTGGTAGAGCTCTCTCCTAGGTCCGGATCCCAGGAACTATAGATCATCAGCTTGGAATCTGTCGCATATGGCCTACTTGTTAACACAGCACCAATGTTCTGGACACGCGATCATCTCCCACCAGAGATACAAAACACACGCTCACGTACAGGGCATATGGCTCATCCAGTCGGGCGCATCGCGTATCCACAACCCAAGCGAATATGGGAGAAATTTCAAATCAGAATGTTGTCATATAGAGATCGTCCCCTTGCATGTGCAATGGCCGAGATGATATGTCTAGAACATGTTACACATACATATCATTGCCCAGTGGCGGGATCTTCATCATATTGGAGATAAGAAGCGCCCATTATGCATTATTCAGACAAAATGCATACGGCGCACCTGCAGTGCAGCGTGCGTGCTGAATCACGATGTACCACTACTGCAATGCAATAGTTTTGTGCCACCTGAATATGTGCCAGTGGCGGCTGTCGGCGGCTCGCACGACCTCTGCAACTAAGCTTTGGTGAGCTGCTTCCATATCGTTAGGAGTCGGTCAGACGACAAGGACGTGACAGGAGACAAGTCCTTCTTGGTGTAAAATAGAGACGAAATAAATTGTTAAATAAATTCCGAGCCGCGCATCGGTCCTTCAGAGCGACTAATGAGGTTTTCATGAGACTCAGAGAGGACCCGGAGGCATCAACCGGTACTTCTCGGGGATACGGGTCGAACGGAGATGAGAAAAATCGACCGAGTGGGGGAGCATCGCTGGATTCTCTGTGTTCGCTCGCTTGTACCTTTTCGTTCGCCGTTTGCAAGGTTGGAGTCGGGAAGTGCAGTACCGGAACGCGCGTATGGCGCAGTGTCAAAGGAACCGCTCGTTTGTGAGTGGACAGCTAAGCCGCTTACTGGACCGGGAGAAGTAAAGATGAAGCGTTCGGAGGAGATGGAAGGCAGGTGACCGAGAGACACAGGAGATCTGATCCGGGATACGATGTGATGTGGTGAGGTATGGCTATGAGAATGCGAAGAATGGTATATGCATCCTTGTAAAGAAGGTTGAGAAGGGTGCAGTATGCCCAGGAGGGAAAGGAGAGACGTCCGGCGAGCCCGAGGATTGACCCATAGGCAGAGCTTAATGGAAGACCCATCAAAGAGTGAAGGAAGAACAACGGCAGATAGCCATTAGGAGCTGACTACGCCTGATGCTAAGCACAAGTAGAATGATTCTTGTATGGCGGCGTCGCGTGGACAAGGCGCATGCACTTGTACAGTAAAGGCCGTCAACCGGTGTAGTGTTCAAACTCGGATTACCCTCGGAGGCGCTTAGAATGCACAGCAGGACAGGAGGGTATCTGCGCGGACGGGTGTATGGCGCCGGCCGGAAGGACAAGTCTTGGACAGGACAAGACGTGTTTGGAAAGACAAGACAGGATGACTGAGAAGCCCAGATATGTTGCAATGATAGGACCGGCATCTGCAGGGCATCTGCGGGAGGGATGCTGTTAGATTAGAAGAACACCCGTAAGGATCTGTTCATAGCAATCAGTTCCGTCGCTGGCTGATCCATATGCTCTCTGTATTATTATTGTTTTAATTTATTTTTGCATTCGTCCAAAGGAAGCGCTGCCAATACTCACCCATGTGCATCTGTCCGTCCATCTGCCTTTCCGTCTGGGCAGAATAAACATATAAAATCTGCCCTCGCTCCTCGAAATGCTAGATCCGCCCAGTACTCGCCCCTCCTCCTCCTCCAGCTAAGCGGTTAGCTAAGGCAGCAACAGTAGCTACTTAGCCATGGAGTTCCAGTCATCACAGGCACAGTTTGCCTTGGACGCACAGTCGTCATCCATGTCCATGCTTAGTGCATGGGACAACTCGCAACAGCGTCATCCTCAGCCTCAACCTCAGCCTCAGCCCTACCTTCCGGTCCGTCGCCAACACTTTGCATACAACGGCTTTCCAATCTCGCCAGTATCTCCGTCTTCATCGCCTCAAGAGAACATGATGAATAACATGGGTAACCAGCTGTGGACGCCGCCGACGGTGACCGAGATAGAGCTAATGCAGCTGCGGCGGGGATTAGAGCCACCTATTCCGGCGGCAACTGCGTGCGTAGCCGAGCATGAGCCGGCCAATCAACAGGCACATTTCAACTTCGACTTCGACTTTTCCCTCCCACACATTTCTCTCCCGCAACTCCCGCTTCCTCAATATCAACAACGCCAACATCACCAACAGCAGCGCTGCTCACCGCCTCTCCCAACGCCCACCTCGCCTTCTTCTTCGACATTATTTGCTACGCCTCCCGTCACTCCTCCGCGAAACATGAGCTTCCGCCGAGAATCACCCTCGTCTTCGCTGAAGCGTTCCTCTTCTGACGACCAGTCGGATACCTCGACAGCGCCGTCGACAGGTACTACGAAGAAACGTGCATGCATGAGCATGAAGGACTTTGTGCCACCCGATGTTACTGGCCTGTCAAAACGCGAAGCGCGTCTTGTCAAGAACCGTGCTGCTGCGTTCCTTAGCCGACAGCGTAAACGTGAAGAGTTCGAACTTATGGAAATGTACATTCACATTCTCAAATCGTAAAAGTATCATTTCTCACATTTCTCTTGCAGACGCGTTGCAGAACTTGAGCGAGAGAACGTCCGGCTGCGCGAGCTTGCCGATGGACACACTCCCTCCTCTCCCTCCCCATCCTCCGAATCCTCTGAACTCGAGCTACTTCGCATGCAGCTCCAGTCTTCCCGCCAGCGCGAAGTCGAGCTAGTGCACCGCCTTGAAGTTCTTAAACACGAACAGAAAGTCAAGACAGAAGCAAGCGAGCCGACTCTCAGCGACGGAACCAATTCAGATGCAGGAACCAATTCGCCATTCATGGCGCCTGTCTCGTTCAAGAACATTGTTGCAAACCCTAAAGGTGGCGCGAGCCTCGGACTTATGGTTGGTATCTACTCCTTCACAGAAGACTTAATTTTGTGTAATTAATACGCGGTGATTATTTCAGGTTCTACTTTGCGCCTTGCCATCTCTTCTTTCGCATCCATCTTCACAACCTCGTTCCACGCTTCCTACTTCTCAGTCTTTCTTGGACACAATCCAATGGGATAATCCGTCTTTCTTCCCTGCTGCAACTTCTGGGAATGACGATGTCCCGTCATGGGATCTTGATTACCCTGGTCCCAACTCGGGTTCCAGTGGTATAGCGATGGATGTTGACTACAACGATGTCGCTAATACCAACGAAGATGAAGAATGGAAGAAGTTGGAACTAGGGCTTGAGGGTGCTAATGACATGGGTCTATCAGGCCTTGGCTTAGGGGCGCTTGATATTTCGTTTGCAACCCGGCGAACAAGAGACGGGAAGATCCGCGTCCGGGTCCACTCTTCACCATCGACATCTTCACAGTCGTCTTCATCAGAGCCAATGCCTCAGTCGAATACCGAGCAGGCCACACTATCTGTCAATGATCAATCGAATACGGCGCTTTCTTTGCCCTCGCCGCCTCAATCAGAAACCGACGCTGTATCACATCCAGACGGATTGGTCAACCCGCTAGCAATGTCCTTTGTCGATACAGATCCACTAGGCCCCTTCCTAGGTGCAGGATCCTCACCCACGGGTGCATTCTTTGAGTACCCCAACCAGAATAACTTCACTCTTCCTTCCGACATTTCCGGAGCCGATATCGTGAATGGTACTGATGGATTAAGAGCAGGGGAGCGGCGCCGCGTTCGTATTGCCCTCCGGAGTTTTCCGCAACCTGGTGGCGAGGGCGGCGAGTGGGAGGTTGAGGTGCGATGATTTCGGTTTCTCCGTTTGATTTTCGATTCTATTGCCTATTTTGGACTTTCTTCTCTTCTTTGTTCATATCGTTGCATTCTTGTCCTCGCTTCTTGTGCATATTTCTTGTTGTCATTTCATTTTGCTATGCTGTGAAAGATATGTTTTATGCCCTGTCGGATCGGATTTCTTTCCTTTCTTCTCCTTCACCCGATATTTTGTCAAGATACTGTTTCTTGAGTGCTGAGATGCACATCGTACATCGTACATTTTATTTCTACATCTTACTCTTCACCATGTTTATGCTCTGTTTTGCACATGCCACCACTCATCATCTCCCTGTTCATCGCATTTGCTATCTGTCTATCACGACCATCAGAAATTATTATATTTCCGAAACTCTTCGGTATTTCGCGGTTGACATATATTCCTCACTATCTGGTATACCACGTCTATACACATCTTTGTTATAGCTTTTTGACATTTGACATTTCTCGTAAAGATGTATTTATCAAAAGAGCATCTGTCATTAGCATGACTAGTACTGTTCTTAGTTTCCTTAAAATTTTTGAATGACGTTCTGGTGTCGTTTGGGTGGTAGTTTTCTGTTTTTCCAATTCCTTTTTTTCTTCTTTTTAGTCTTTTTCTTCTTCTTTTGATTGTAGAAGTTATAATAGTAGAGTAGAATAGAGTAGAATATTGATTTGTCAGTGTCATAGGCTATGATCAGGAGAGATATCAACCACATTTACATTTTTAGCAACTACTGGTACTTCTCGTAAGTAATATTTCCCTGACCCCAAGTGAATATGGTTCTATCTTCAGATATAGCCCAATACATATAGTAGGAACGCAAATATCATGATGCGCTGAAAGGCAAAGCGCCGTAGCTTGTGCACACCCACATTTTTTCTGAAGTTGAGATAGATATGTGGTACTAGTACTAGTACTTACGAAGTTGAGCTCGGGGAACTCGGGAAGCCAAGTATAGAATGAATGTTAATGAAGATTTACATACGGGATGGGATAACTCATTCAAACTCACTGAGAATTCACCTTCATAACTATACTAGTATACTACTAGGCTGGTGCTGTACTAAAGAAAATCAGGGCTGAGCTGGTGAATGCGATGGTGGCGTGGTGTTACATGTGCTTGAGGTTATCCTATTCTTAAGGCAGAATAATTTTGCGTTGAGTGTACATCAATGTGCTATACTAAAGATAATCAGGGCTGAGTAGAGAAAGATTCCGATTAATGCGATGGTGCTGCATGTGCTCGAATCCGTTCTGGATTTCAGGGAGGGTCGTTGTCGCGTTGAGCAGACAGTAAATCATGTGTGATACCGTAATACTGATCGGAGTTGTGGATACTATTAGTATTACTTTGTGGGGAGAGATGTACGCCGAGTCTAGTAAACTCGCAATCGAGACAATTCGGACTTGTCACTAGTGTGCCTCTTCTCAAAGCGGGAACAATGATCGTTCTGGTCACCACTCGGAAGAGCTTGCTCTCTCCTTGATGTATGCGGGGGATAATTGAGTTCCTGAATCATCGCACATAAATCTTTGCGAGCGCGAGGACGAACGTGCCACCCGACGCGCTAGAAGTTCTTATTTCCTGCTCTCGGAGTTACCCCAGGTTTCTTCCATATTCAAACGGAGTTTTTTTCAAGGGATGCATGGTCAGTACTTTATGGACTGCGGAGAATACCGAACTCCTTGAATACCGATGAACGCTCATATTGGATTTACATGTGCAGAGTGTGTATACAAAAGGACAGCTCACGATCCGGAACACTGCATGTAGAACAACGAATGTATTGAAATTTAGAACGATATAATGTAAAGAGTGAATGGAAGATTGCCTTACAATAATAACTTGTTGAGATGTTATAGATTATAAATGAAGAACGAGATATAGATAGTAATGTAATGAAGACTCGAGATCACCGTTACAATCTACAATATAACAAGTATATTGTAGATCCAAAAGAGGCGTTTAGCTTGACGATGCGGATACATACCGGAATATTGTCGATTAACCAAAGGATGGAGAGGTCGGGACCGAATTGAGGGAAGACGGCAAGTACCCTTCTTCTATCCCACTCATCCTTTTTCGTACTTTGACTGTACGACACTGTACGGGCTGGGCCGACCAGGAACAAAAAAAAACACATGCACACTTCAATGACGATACGGCACAAACCATACTCAGTATGGGGAAATAAGGTACATCTTCTATGCGGGTCGAGCGTCGATCGCATGGAACATCATATAAAAGGTGCGGAACACACGGGAAGAACGGAACATACGGGAAGATCACATAGCATATAACCACGAACAGCCAATTAACTCGCCCAAACCCTCTTACTATTAACAAAATGACGAACAGGGAAAACAGAATAACAAAATAGAAAAACATAGAGGGTCACGATGTACACAATTATCCCTCTGCAAATTACAGAAGCCTACCCTCGTGAAGCTCTGTTAATCTTTGCGTTGTCCCCTATACTGGCGTCCCTGAAAGACCTGCATGATCTACATATGGACGCACATGGCCTCACACGGCTCGGACGCGCTCATCCTCAAGAATTATATTGCTTTTGCAGTCTTGCCGTAAGCTCACATGTCATAATGTTTATTTCCTCGAAAATCATGCTTATGATCCCTTAAACACAATCTTCAAGAAGTCAGTTTTCAAAGTTCAAAAGCACACTAGGGCATGCGATCCCTCCAAAATACGAAGGACTTCGCTCGTAGCTGTTCCTGTTCCATCCATTTAAATTACCCCGGACTATATTTTTGTGCGATGAGTCGCAGCAGGAATCGACGGCAGAACGCACTCTCTTCGACAAGCGAGCATGCGGGGGCGTAGAATGTAAAAACAGGTCGAGACCGGAATGAGGCATGATAATCTGCGACTCAGCATGTTTACGGAACTCACTCGGAGTTAACGCCCCAAACCGCGAGTCACTGTATGGAAGAGGATTGACAACGGACGACTGAAGCTTGATGGATTGACGTAGCACACGACCAGAGATAGACCTTCCCAGTCAAATCCTAGTATCGATCTATTCATTCTTCCCAATAAGAAAGGCATAAGCTACAGCTGGAGGGAAACATACTTAGACGTGAGTATAATCAAGCTGTTATCGCTCGGCCGGATGGTATTGTGTGCATAGAGAACGGGATGAACGAAGCGAAGCATCGTCAGGCGGATGCGGGCGCGTGCAAGGGTTGTTGAAGCATAAGGTACGCTCCGCACATACTGCGCCCTTAGGAGGGCGCGTCGAAGCCATAGTCGCTGCCGCAGCCACTGCCGTCGCTCAGAACCACATTACGCACTGGAAAGATAGGAGATAGAACTTATTATTAGAAGCGGCGTTTATTTTTTCTCTTTCCCTCAGTAATGACGAAATTGATAACCGGGATCACCGATAAGGCCTAATGGTCTTGAGACACGAGAAATTGAGAATAGATTGGATAACCAGAACTGAGCTCGGCGCTAAGCTGGCAGTGATGCGACAGCGAAGTGCATCAGCCCCATCAATACGCTGATGACGATGACGATGCGAGAGCTTGGAAGGAGATAATGCAGATCTGGTACGCACGTAGCTTGCGGGGATCTGCAGAGTCATTGTGGCGATGTGCGACAGCCCTGTCAAGGCAATGCCACTACCGGGAGACCGAATATCCTACAAATTCCGCAGCGCTGTCACCCTAACAATGCGGATGAATGTCGGACTGTTCTTCACGTTGAACAACATATCTTCCCACCAGTAGCGTCAAGATATCATCATATGTATGATGAATATTCAAACAAGACCTATTTCAAATTCAAATACGAGAAGATATGCAAAGCAGACTTGCCGAGCGATGAACAACGCCGCGCGAATACAGAAGAGAGTGGTAGATTTAGTGGTGGCATGTGCTGTCGCTTATCACTGCATATCGAGCAGTCGAAGTGTCGGATTCGCCTGGTTTTTTTCAAATGCAATGTGTACAAGAGTGTTCTCAGAGTTCATAATTATATGTGCACAGATAGGGAAGACCAATACCAGAGATTTGAGAGCTTTAAACATATAGTAATATAGTATGCTAGTCCTGCTGGACTCCTGAGCACATGGGCTAAGACAGCCAAGAAGAGGAGTTTGTAAAAACGGTTAGTCCGCATAAACACCTTGGAGGAGTGATACAGTTCAGATGGATATGAGTACCTCGGAGGGTGAAGAAAGCAAAAACATATCGCGTGCATGTCATTGTGAGTGTACTTCTTTCAGGCATAAAGTTCTCACGGGTTCAATAAAAGATTAGTCATTCTTTTGCCAATCATACCACAACAAGTCATCATCAAAATTGTTGAGGCAGAACCAATTTCCAACCATCACGCTGTGGCACGACCAAGCAGAGTACACTGCACCCTCGTCTTCACGCGAAGAAAGTCGGTCATGGACGGAGTTATTTGCATTTCTCCGAGCCATCGACGACCACCACAACGACATGACATCCTGTCCTGACCGGCACTGTGTTTGTGGACGCCGCATCGACCGCCTACTCCCAAATAACCGGCGCACGCCGCACATCCCATCAAATCGAACCGAAACCCCGAAGCACAAGCGCGCGAAACTCGGGAGTATCCTAACCCTTCACACTACACCATTCTTTCCTCCCATTTGTGCCCAACAATATATCGTCCTAGCCTGTCGTCTCTCACTTCTTCAATACAATATCTCTCCTCAAATGACATGAATTGAGTGAGTAATCACTGAATCATACTCACAGGCACTCCTCTCTGCCGAATCGTACCGAGTCGACACCTCAGTGATTCCGTATCCGTATCCGTCCATCACCCCAGATCGACGAAAATAGTCAGATTACCTTTGATAATAGTGGCTCCCTTTTACCGGGTATTTTGCTTCCGTTCCTCGCATTTTCGTCCCATAACCGCCTTTGTGCGGCCTTGTAAAATTCTTTTCCTTCAGTGACCGCCTTCTTTCTTTCACATTTTCTCCGAACTTCTCGACTCGAATCGAGAACCTGTCAAGCGAAAGAAAGGATGCTTTTGAGTTATGAAGAATGGACGATATTCTCGGTTACCTCCCTGTGTTAATACGGATGTCGTACCGGCTCCGTCCTACTAAATCTGTCTTGTAGCCCCAAGACCGTGCAGCTTTCTTTTGGCCTTGAATGAAAGTAAGCAATATGAACTCAAAAACTCATCTTTTACTTTCAAAACTAAGTTCAAGCTTGGTCAGCCTCTCATACCGAGAGTGAGACCTGTTAGGACTCCATCAAGCTTACAACTTCCGCTTGCGGAGTACGGAATGAAAATCACTTTCGGACCCGTCGGCGGACAAGGGGCCCTCAACGATCGAAAAGCATCTGATTATGGAAGACGAATGGAAAGAGCTACTCATGCAATTCAGTTCGTACGAGCACTCTTCCCACTCTTCTCTTGGTCTTTTCGTTCAACGAGTTCACCCGACCTCAAACCCTACTGCAAAAAATAGTACCCAGAGAATCGTGAAGACCTGTTCGGATTCGGTGCCGGATGTGCGTAAAACGCCCATGTGCGCGCAAAGCCTCTTGCTGAGGTGGCTAATCCGATTTCGTGTGCGCCCACGTCCAATCTCGTGTCTTGGCCGTTTGGATAGATTTCAGCACCCTCATAGCTGGCCTGGCCGAACAAATGCCCATACCATGCATTGCTATATCTCCATATCGCTTTTTACCAGACAATGCAAAGCGACCTCTCTTCTCCCGTTAGCATTCAACGTTCGACGTGGTACTCGTCTGAATGGACGCAGAACAAGCTACCTTGAACCTATAAGCTCCAATTAGGAGCGACTATTCAGTACCTCAGTGTAAGTCCTCCAGAACCACAAGCTCATACCATTCTCGTCTCTCTCAATTCAGCAGTAAAGTACCGTCCATATGAAATCCTCGAGTCGACACTTCCTTTCTTCTAACCTTCCGAACCATCCGAATCATCCGAACGCCTACCTTTCCCCCTGAATCTAAAGGCCTGCCGCCTGCATGTGTTCGTATCGATCATCGAAGTACCGCACAATCACCACAAACTGGTGCTACCCACTTCGCCGATCATCGCTCAAGGGCAATTGCCCCACTTCACTTACCACGGAGAAATAATTTGGAACAAAGCATACCAAAAACAGATCGAGCGAACAAAGTAATATGCCATTATCATATCTATAAGGGACAGGAGAGCCTATAATCATTTCTTGTACAATAAGTTATGTATGTAGTTTATGTTTATTCCATTCATCTTTTTTGCAAGTACTGTGTAGTACCAACGCGAGAGCCCAAAGAGCCCGAAAGCAAAAACAGGACGTGAGAGACCCAAGAGCAAGAAATATCAGACAATGAAAACGGAATAATAAGGGATATAGACATGCTCGAAAATAGGGTTCGAACATAATATAATTTACAATAGAAAGCTCGAAATAAAAGGAAGCTCAACTCGATATCAAGAGAAAGGTGAAGCAGGGTGAGGTAAGGCGTGGTGATAGCAAGGTGAGCACAGCAAGTGGGGCGCCAGGGGATGGTAAGGGACAAGAATATAGAAAAGGTGACGATATGCGGGTGTAGAAAGGAGGGACGAGGGACGAGGCGCATAAACAGGGCTATTGTGATGCACTCGGAAGGTACCGATAACACAACACGACAGATTTGGATATAATAACGGCGGCAGCGCAGAGATAGACCTCGATAGACCCGATAGCAAATATGATTGTGCCCTATAGCGGCACGAGGGAGAGGGGCGCGAAGTATGAAAGGGAAAACAGAGTTAAGAGCAAGAAGGAAACGGAATAAGTAAAACAAAGGGTAACAAATAGGAACAAACACAAGAAAGGAAAAGGCAGAAAAAATATATTATGTACACGGAATGATGTCATCGCACCTCGACCTCCCATTCACCACCCTCGCCGCCGGGCTGAGGCAAACTGCGGAGAGCGATACGAACACGTCGTCGTTCTCCCGACTGCCCTCCGATTAAGCCGGAGGAAGATGAAGAAAAATCGAATGGTGAGCCCAGATCGAAAGCTGCCGTGGGTGAGGCACCAGCACCCAAGAAAGGGCCAAGCGGGTCTGCATCTACATACGAGAGCGAAAGCGGGTTTGGACCCTCGTGTGGACTCGAAACGGAAGTCGAAGGCGATGACTGGGAGTTGGCAGGTGACGGGAGTGAGAACGACATGAGCGATGATGGATCGACGAGATCATCTACTGTTGGGGTCGATTGTTCCATCTTCATCTGTGACACTGACTCTAATGATGCAGGAGTTTGTGAAGATGCCGATGGTGGCGAGTGGACGCGCACGCGGATCTTCCCGTCCTTTGTCTTTCGGGTAGAAAACGAGACGTCGAGCGCCCCTAGTCCAAGACCAGACAGGCCCATGTCTTCAGCGCCATCAAGCCCTAGTTCAAGTTTCTTCCATTCATCACCCTCGTTGGCGTCTTGAGCGTTAGTATAGTCGACGTCCATCGCCATGTTGCCCGAGCTGACGCCAGAGAAATCAAGTTCCCACGATGGAACGTCTTCGGCTGTCGCAGTGCCTGATGTTGCAGTGGGGAAGAAAGAAGGGCCATCCCATTGGATCGTGTCCAAGAAAGACTGAGAAGTAGGGAGAGTGGAGCGAGGGTGCGAAGACGGATGCGAAAGCAAAGACGGCAAGGCGCAGAGCAGTACCTAAAATAATTAAAGCACATTAATGTCACAAAATTAAGTCTTCTGTGAAGGAGCAGAAACGAACCATCAGTCCGAGACTCGCACCGCCTTTTGGGTTTGCAACAATGTTCTTGAGTGAGGCAGGCGCCATGAGCGGTGAATTGGCGCCTGCATCAGAATTGGTTCCGTCGCTAAGGACTGGCTCGCTTGCTTCCGTCTTAACTTTCTGTTCGTGTTTAAGAACTTCGAGACGATGAACAAGTTCAATTTCGCGCTGACGAGCTGATGCAAGCTGCATGCGAAGTAACTCGAGTTCAGAGGACTCGGAGGAAAGTGAAGGAGTCGAGGGAGTCTGCCCGTCTGCGAGCTCACGCAGGCGAGAGTTTTCTCGCTCAAGCTCTGCAACGCGTCTGGGGAAAGGACGTGAGAAATAATACACATTGTATTTGAGAAATCGAACATACATTTCCATGAGTTCGAATTCTTCACGTTTACGCTGTCGACTGAGGAACGCAGCAGCACGGTTCTTGACAAGACGTGCTTCGCGTTTTGACAGGCCAGTAACGTCCGGTGGCACAAAGTCCTTGAGACTCATGCAGGCTCGCTTCTTGGTATTATTATTATTATTTGACACTGGCGAAGCAGCCGCAGAGGTGTCGGACCTGTCGTCGGAAGCGGAGCGCTTCAATGAGGATGGGGAAGATTCTCGGCGGAAGCTCATGTTATGTGCGGGTGGCGAAGAAAACAATTCGGATGATGAAGTGGGTGAGGTCGGCGTTGGGAGAGGTGGCGAGCAGCGCTGCTGTTGGTGTTGTTGCTGTTGGTGTTGAGAGAGATGTTGCGAGAAAGATGGCGGCGGGAGAGAAAGGTGTGGGAGGGAGAAATCAAAGTCGAAGTTGAAGGGGGCGCCGGGCTGATTGGCCGTCATCCTCGGCTCATGTTCGGCAACTGGTCCCGTCGCCGGTATGTGCACCTGCAGGCCTCGCCGCAGTTGCATTATCTCCATCTCGGAGACCGGCGGCGGCGTCCACGGGTTGCTCGTCGCCATCTGGAGAGACGATGAGGTCGACGGGGGCGATGACGACGGCGACACGGGCGAGAGGGGGTACCCGTTATATGCAAATGGCTGGCGATGGGCCGGAGGGTGACGCTGGGAGTTCTCCCATGCACTCAGCACGGACGCCGATGCGGAGTCGAGGGCAAAATGGGCTCGTGAGGTCTGCATGTCCATGACCTAGTAGAATAACTATGCACTGACTGAGCTCGTCGGATGCGGGGAATCAATGTTTGGGCGGATATCCGCTGAGGGAAGCAGCCGTGTTCTTATACTTTCTTGTCCCTCATGGTACAGTACAGTACTAGTTACAGTATACCTATTCATCGCCTTTAAGCTTCTTCTGCACGCTCGGCACTAGGCTGATTCTGCACTGCACTCGACAGGGATTCCCGGATGGAATACCATTTTATTTTTAATATTTTGTCATGAACACAAATACTGATGTTCCGAGGGTTCTCCGGCCTGGCGACGCACGCGCTCTCTCTGGCAAAAGCCTTGGAATAGCCTGCCTATGGCATCCCTCCAGAAGCATTATTCCCTGGCCAAATCTCGGTCGTCATCTCCCGCCCTCATCTCTGCATCCTCCCCTCTTCTTGTATGTCTGCATCTGCCCTTCTGCCCCGCATTGCCGTTTCTGGTGTGATCACCTGTACGTTGCCCTCATCCTTCTCCGGACATCCCGTCCGGCTCGTCAAAGAACCTCGACGGTGGTATTTTCCGCACAGGTCGTCTTTGTCGGGTCTTTGCCTTTGTATATCCTTCCCTCTACGGATTCCAAGACGCCCTCAAGCCTCTCCTGGACTGATCTTCCCAGCCCGCAGCAGTCCCAGTGCCTGCCTCTTTTCGCGCGTTGGCACGGTCCCGGTTACGCGATTCCTCGGATTCGGACACTTGTTCTCGCTCTCTCGGGCAAACTTCTCGTTTCTCGCTTTCTCTTCCGCCTTTACTTATTCTGCTCTGACGCCTGCTGATCTCCGCATACAATACAATCAACGGGCCGTTCCGCTATGTCCGAAATCCTTTGGTACCTTCAGTCCATGAATGTACTAATGAGCTGCTCTAACGATGCTTTTCCGAGCCGGCACATCCCGTACGCGTGTGCGTGTGAAAGGGAATGGGAATAGGAATGTCTAGATTATATGTTTTCTGTGCCTTACAATACCCTCCGTTCACTTGTTCCCAACCTCTTGTTTTTCCCACTCGGCTGCCCGGCTCATCACAAATCGCTCATTGCGCTCTGCGCTCACTCTCGCAGCCGCACGTCTTTTTCTCGCGGTGATATGGACGAGCCGAGAGTCGCGCGTACGACAATCTAGACATTGAGAACTCAAAAGCACATGTTGACAAAGGCTCGACGGACTAACGTACATAGATTTGCCTCATCGGTCCAAACGCGCTGATTAACCTCGCACAGTTTGCATCATCTGGGGTCAATTGACTCCGCATCGCTGGCGGATATTCTAAGTACGTTATCTCGCCGCTGATTGCTGATGCCGATCATGCTGCTAATTGGTGCTCTGGTCATGCAGACCAGTTGCAAGTTATGTTCACGTGCTCCTGAGCTTCCCGCACAAACGAGCATATGCCACCGCCTTCTTTCTCAAGAATCTACCCTTGCTCGTGTTCAACACACAATAACAAAGGCATATCATGCCTTCTTTATGTATCTGTCGCTCTGTGCTTTGACACAGCATGCAGTGAATTATGCTCGGCGGGACCGGCGGATGTGATGCTTTCCGTGCGGATGCATGAGCAGACGCTGATTAGACACCTATCTTTGTATCAATTGGATATACCAGGAATTTGGTGTATTCGTTATTTCTGCCTGAGCAACGTCATCTCCATGATGACATCCGGCAGACAGACAACCGCCCTCCTTCGCTGCTGGTGCTGATGCTACACCCATCCTTCCGCGTACGTTGTTACGAAATCGCTCTGTTTCTCCCGGCTCCACGTTCACGCTGCCCGCTTATCTATCGTCAAGTTAAATGTTCAGAAAGCTGAAAGACAACATTGGACGATATTCATTCAACGGCAGCTAGCGGTGACCGATTACCGTATCCATAGCTATCCTCAAGTCGAGAAAGGATATAAATATTCATGACAGCTACCCTCAAGTTTCTTCTCGGCCGTTTCTTCAAATTTTCCCTGCCCTTGTCTGTCGTATTTTTTTCTCTAGGAATCCTTGGCAAGTGCTGATCTGATGACTTCATACCACACAACCGTACATCCCTTACACACGACGCTGTCCAAAAAATAATTCGAAATCGATAACCACATCCACTCAAAACAGATGAAGAAGTACAAACAAACGGATCATCAAGACGAAACGGTGAATCGTCATATGCATGTTAGTTTGTAGGAAGATCGGAGGTCACGCATCCCTTTCCTCTGCTTCACGTTCTTCTCATTCATGTCATCCGAACCAATCGTAAAAACCAAATGCGTTCCTTCCATCGTTCTTTTGCACGGGGAGAGCACGCGACTTCTCTCTCCCTTAGAGCCGAGAAAACCTCACAGCCGTCAGCGCCGTTTCTCCGAGTGAGTCCGTGCTCAGCCTCATATTCATCCCGTCGGACGTACATCATCCAATGATCCATCAAGTAACACCTTCCGCCGTTCCTTGCACCAACCCTGATTTAGGTTGAGTCACACGGAGAAGAGAAGCTGTCGGAAGGACATAGGGACGTAGAAACCCATAAACGTGCCTTCCGTTCCCTCGAGAGCTATTTTTCGACCTTGTCTTTGCTTGTGGTATGAAAAGTAAGGCCTAATGGGATGTAGGGCGTATAAACCTCGGTGCGCGTATTTCCCCGCATTTCCCGCACTACTACACTACTACATTATTACACCCTTTACCTTTACTCTTCCCCGACAGAGACCGAGCGACGGATGGTGCTGTAACACAAGTACTAAGCTAAGGTCCGTCCGTCCGTATGTCCGTATGTCCATGTGTACAACAGCGGAAGTATCACCAGGACATTACGACAATGTATGGCGTATATTTGGTGCTCTTCGTTCTCGGAAGAAGTATGCACTCGGTGATCTCCTACCATACCTCTTTCGGTACTAGTGGGTAATGATGATTTGGACAGCCTGGCACTAATGCACAAGATACGCCTATACACGACCGCATGAACATCTGAGGCGTAGGGGATCAGCGGTACGTCCGTGCGTCGAGGTATCGATCAGTCAAACAATCAAAGGTTCTCATCGGACATAGAATATCACACACCGTAGTACGCTACCAGATCAGTTTACGTTTTTCAAGCGCTTTCATTCCTTTTCCTCTCAAGCGTTTGCCTGTTCGCATCAGTCTCCTTGGTGAAATCAAATTACCAAAATACTTGGTGTCTCAAAGGCAAGTCTGCTTCTCGGAACACGCCCATCTTTGCAGTGTCTAACAAAATTGACATACTACATTCGTCTTAGCCTGTCAAGGTGAGGAATAGTGAAAAAAAAAATGCCAAGAGTTCGGGCAAAGTCGCATTTTCCCAAAAACTTATATTCCACTGTTCCGATATGTCATGATTAACACTGCCTGTTGTCAGGTGTCTAGACTCGACAGTGGAACACGGAACTGTATAGCCTTCGGCTGTATTGTTTGACAATCGCAATCTTCCTGATGTCATTGAACATATGATATGGAATGCAGAAGGAAAAGAAGAAGCAATAGCATTTACGTCAGAATGTGCTTGCTCGTTGCAAACCAAATATACCTCAGATTAAATATACTTGAGCCCCATTTTCTAAGCGCTTTCATATGTCTTCACTTAGCCAGGTAAGCGAGAGATGTTTGTTGCACGTATTCCGGATTCACTACTTCCTATCGCCGCAGAGCAAAACAATGCGACAGAGTGAAAAGGAAGAGCGTTTACCGAGATTACTCGGGTTTCTTACGGAGACACGTAGCTTTGAGGATTTGTCATCCTATGATGTATGCATGCTCTGTCGTGGGTAATTTGTTCACTACGGGAATTCCTTGAATACCTCGTCAATACCATCACGTTGAGTGCCTTCCAACGTCTTTCCTCGGGTACTGGGACTACCGGACCGCCAAGCAAATTTGAAAGAGAGTTAAGATTATCACAATACAAATTAAGGACAATCCGCAAGCTGCAGGCACACAAGAGTTACTCCCCAAAGCTTCCGCTTTGCGATTTGACCACATACTCTATCAAATTTATTTAGACAGGCATACCGGCACTTCAACACCGCAATTCTCTTATTAAATATTCTTCCAGAATCACGAAGTATGTCTATACTCTAGAAGCACGTTCTTGAGAAAATAGATCTAAATCCAGGATATAACTCCTCAAAGCCCCCGAAATCAACACAACTCACTTGACATTTCTTCTCTCATTCCTTTCACTTCAAGAGCGCGTAATGGCCGTTTGGTGAATTCGCGCTTCGCAACAGCTCCACCTCGTCCCTAGCTTCTGCTTGCTGGTACTCTCCAACAGGAAAAGAATTTGTAAAAATAAAAATAAGATTGTAGACTCGTGCCTTGGCATTTCTTCTACTTGTTTTATATAACTAATGTCATTAGGCCATATGTATACGAAGGCACGAATAACATTGGAAAATAGACTCTGTCTTCCGCTCCACATATGCTCTTTATTTGAAAGCAACGATCAATGTATCTGCTATTATTACTCTCTGTCATGAGGATTGCTCTCATGACGTTCTATCAATGTATCATTGTCGTCATCATTCTGCTCATTGGGTTTATGTTTGCTTAGAATAAACTATGATAGTAAAATCGGCTATTGAGAGGGGTTATGTGAGAGGCTTAGAGGGATCACACAAAGAGGGGGGATAGTGGACTCGGCTCGTTCTCCTTAGCATCATTGTCCGTTGATTCAGTAGGTATATATAATATGTAGCTATGTCTCGGGTACGTCCGTTGCTTATATGCGTCATTCCATATATGTTAACACTCCCCTTCAAACATATATTAGTTTAATAATATGTTTGTTTTGCAACTATTCGTTTATTTGATTTGTAGTTATTTTTATTTTTATTTTTATTTTTAGGGGTAGTTATAGTGCTGCTACCACTCCCCTTCAAACATTTATAAGTTGGCCAGACCTATAAGATGTTTGATTTGCAGATTGTTCCAACATTTTTATTAGTATTGTATCTACATTGTACATTGTGTCTGTATTATATTCACTCGTGTATCACATATAATAATATTATTTGTATAATATAAATGTGTTGTTTGTATCATATATTTTGGTCCACTGTGTGTTAACTTTGTGCTTTGTTAGATATTTATTAAGTTTTCGTTTGCTGTCATGTCATTAGTTCTGTAGTTCATTCATTATTATATTATTAAGTTGTTGTTCATTGTCTTGTAGACTGTTTGATGTGATTGAAATTGTTCAGAGTTAATCTGAAGTTTGTACATAGTTTACTGTTCAATGACAGTATTGTTTTCACAATAAATCGTTCGAAATCGTTATTAATATCATATGTGCTTCAGAGACCTGTAGAATCTCATGAGCACTATGTAAGATTGTAAATCATGTGTTTTATTTATTAAATTTGCTTGAGTATTACTAGTAATTTCTTTTTACTTTGCTGTGAAACTAATGAATCATACTAGTAAAATGTATATCTAGTGTTGTAATGATATCCTTCTTTAATCATTACTGTCTGTGTTTGTCTACATTTGTATATACATTAAGCATTCAGCAATAGCTGATTTATGTCTTCAGATTAAAGCTTTGTATTGATTGTATGTTGTAATATTAATAATGTTATTTGTTTTTGCTAGATTGCTTCATTCTGAGATCAATAAGGTTTTATGCTAACATATATTTGTTGTATAGATATTATATCTGGCTGTAGGCAGCTTGCTATGTGTCTAGGTGCATCATATATGTATTATATCATGAATGTATTGTTTGTTTGTTCACTTTACATTATTGTTTATATTTATATATTAATGTTGTGTTCTGTAATGAATTGTTTCTGATACATCCTGAGTAACTATACAATCTGTTACATTATTTCTTCAATAGCCAACATAATTATCTATTGTAAATTGTTAGTAACATGTGTTTGTATTATTTGTTATTAACAGTGTTATTGTGAATTGTTGTGATTGTAATGTTATGAATATTTATTAGTATTATAGCTATTGTTCTTTACTTTTTCTTTTGTAAAGAATAGTGTATTGTAACACAATCTGTATATAAGTGATATATTAGATTATGTTTACTATAATAGTCTCCTAGCATACTTTAGTTAATCTAGTAGTATGTGTAATTGTAGTATTTGTTCAATGTTTTATTTGTCAACGTTTTATTTGTTAATTGATTTGCTAGGTAAAGTGTTTTATATATTGGTTTTATTTATTTTATTTGAATCATTGTATAGATATACTTATTAGTATCTATCCAATGTATTTCATAATGTTATAATACTGTTCACACTTGTATTAATTGCACAGTGAGGGCAAATTAATTGTTCATACAAGAATCAATTTAATAGTTTTATTTGATTATATGTATGTACTCTATACTTGTTTGTATAGTTATTATCTTTGTATTATTCAATTGTAGTTGTGAATTATATTGCAATTATATTTGTATTATTGTATGGATATATTATTTATTGTTTTATGTACGTTCCGAAGTATTATTTTCATTATTCATCACTTTTATCCATGAGCTATAGTCTGGATTAATGAATTATTTTGTTATATGATGTGATATTTGTTTGTATTTTATTTATTTTCGTATTAAACTTTGTTAAGTTAATCAGATTATTATATTAATATTATTTGCCAAGTATGAGCATTTGTTTTGTAGTGGAATTATTATTTATTTAACATTGAAGTTCAATTACACATTGTGTTGACTTCTGTTATTTGTTCCAATTGATGTTATTTTACATCACATTGAATGATTTACCTTTGTGATCCGTTATATCTGTCTGTAACTTCTATTGCTTATTGTTTTTTAGGATCAGTGATAAGATCAACATTTCTGTATCATGAATATTCATTTGTTCATCTGTAGTTTTGTGTTGTGAATGTTTGTGCATTTGCTGTAAAGAATGCTTTGGGAATATGTGCCATTTCTAGGCTTTATTATTATTAATTTATTAATTATCTGTTTGAATAACTTTTATAAGCATTGAAAATGTTATATGATGTATAACTTTTATATTCTTTAATAAGGTATTTTGCATTTGACAGATTTGTCAGATTCATTGTAGATTTCACTTAGTGACATAGTCAATATGTCTGTATTAAGAATTTGATGTTTATCATTAGTATGTATATTATTTAATTACTCCCCTTCAATTTGAGAAGGTTATTCTTTGAGTAATTGACAAGTAGTGTAAGTACATAAGTACATCATTGATTTCCTTTCATGTATTTGTAATCCAACAAGTAGTGTTAGTACTTTGTTATTTTACTTTCATACGTTTGTCAGTATGTGTTATAATATAACAGTATGTTTTAAGTTAACTTGTAATGTTTGACATACATTATTTTGTTTAAACATTACACTGTAACATTGTGCCATTTGTTTTATAAATTTTAATGTGATATTTATAATATGTCTGTAATATTTCAGACATGCTAAGAAATCTCTCTGTATGTTTGCAGTTACAACATCAGTTGCACATCTATTCATATCTCTGATAAGATGTAATAGATATGCTTGCATCTACTTTTCTTTATATATTATACTGTCTGAGATAATGTGTTAAACGTTTTATTAATTTATTTAATCTTATCATATTATGATTGTTTTCGTTTGTAATCATTATAATAAGTGTGTCTGTTGTAGTTTTTCTGTTGTTTGTTGTACTAGCCATATTGGCATAGTACTTCACTTGTATATAAGCTTTGTAGCTTTAATATAAGTTTATTTATACTTTGTTAAAGTATATCTATGTTCTGTACAATTAAATATGTTCTGTTACATTGTTGTAGTAATGGTAGAGGTATTATTCTACTGTTTGCCATTATTATACATTGTTATTATATGTTTACACTATCATAGGTGTAAAGTATTGTTATTTGTTTATTGACTATAATTGTGTACTCGTTCCTGTACCATAGTTACTGTAATGTACTTTGTAACTTTATTATTATTATTATTATTATTATTATTAATTCGTCTGTAGATAGTTGTACACTTTCATAAGCTGTATTAGTGTGTAGATATCAGATGTCTTAGATATCAGATGGATATCTGCTAACTTGTTTTATCTCATATCTGACATGTCCAACATATCTGAGACATGTCTTACATTAATCATTTGGCTGTGATATCACTATATGTGTTATTATTTTATTTATGCTATACTATATGTGCATTTGTTGACAGTGTCAATCATTTGTGCTATTGTAATATTAATAGTGGATGAGTAGCATTTGCTTTCTCAATCCTTCTAACGTTTGTCTGTAGTATGATCAGTTATTTATAATAACATGATCTCTGTAATATTATAGAATATTTTAGTGATTAAATGTTGCAGTAAGTGATACTCATTGTAGTTTCAGCACCACCTGCACAGACCGAGTTATTACTAGGCCAATGATCATAATCACTAAGACAATGATCATATAATGTCTGGGTCATGTGTAGTACAGTAGATTGTGTGTCTGTAGTGTATCAATTTGCGTTTGGGATACTCAGACAGGTGTGTCGAGTTCTGCGTCATAGTATGCTGCGTGCATGCATGCGATCCATAGAGCTGCATAGAGCATAGACATAGTAGAGTGTAGATAAAGCGTAGGCAGGGAGCACAAGGCTCATAACCTATTGATAGGGGTTATGTGAGAGGCTTAGAGGGATCACACAAAGAGGGGGGATAGTGGACTCGGCTCGTTCTCCTTAGCGTCATTGTCTGTTGATTCAGTAGGGTATATATAATATGTAGCTACTAGTATGTCTCAGGTACGTCCGTTGCTTATATGTGTCATTCCATATATGTTAACATCGGCTATCCCGAGCCTTTACCCGTGCATCATTGTTTTTAGCACTTCCAGGAATGGACTATTCATCTATCGACCGGGTTATAGCAATCCAGCCGCTCAGCATCCGCACTGACATGCAAGCCTTCCAAACTGTGTTTTGCTCTCGATTTATACGCCTACAGTATGCGTGCGGTGTCTATGATGCATTGGCTTCTATTTCCGTTGACCTCTCCTGTACTCAGTACTGTTAAGAAGGCAAGAAGGATCCGTTCACATAATTTCATAAAGCTGGCGCTTGTGAAAAAGTGTGCTCTTATCACGACTCCGAAGAGACACGTACAAATTAGTAGCTCATAGACGTGTGTTCAACGCAAACCTACTACTACTTCTACAACTATTTTTTAAAGCATATTTCTAGGTCTTATGTCTAGACTATATGCATATTAAGTCATGGACGGATTAAGAAAACAGACAATGACATCTCTCCCCTATCTCTTACTACTTGCCTTCAGCTTCAACTTGGTTACAAACTTCAATGAACAAGATTATCAGACTCAATCTTTAATGCCTGTGATCTGGACTGCTCCTTCCTACTGCTTGAAAAATGCATTTTAAACCTCTTTCCTAGTTACAGTAAGTGACTACCTGTTCATACAAGATTAATTATCAGTATTATGTTTAATGTAAGGCAGGCTGTTAACTTTCCTATTTCTGTTCAACAGCTTCAGCTGAACTACTATCACAGCTCTTGTGTCTTTTGATGTTTTAGAATTTTTGTTTCCCCTCGACAGAGGTATACTAATGTCGGAGTATGTACAGATTCATGTGTTGTACTGGTAGTAAAGAGGATAGATATAATCGAATTGTTGGGCTTATCGGTTCCCACGAAGTGAACACGTAACATTAGCCTCCCCATTAGAACTCTATTGTACTGGGATCAACTCTTTCAAACCACAGGGTACAAGGTTTTTCATAATTTTATGGCACAAGTTCGGATCGTAAAGCCACTTGTTGTCCAAAGTGGTCGGTAAATAATGGAGGCCGGAAATTTTTCTTCAGCAAAACAAGATTATGTAACCTGTTTAATTTCCTAAAATAGCCAACCATTGTCCTTTGGCTCTGTCCGTTGCGACGAGGTCAATTGTTATTGTTCTTCTGCGCACCTGAAAAATGGCCAGAAACGTGCTCCTTTTCAGCTCTATCTCCTACTCTCATCTTCCCTTTCTGCGCTGTGCGCCATGTTTGCCAGCGTCATCGCTTTCTTTTCGGTTTTCAGCGCGTTAGCCGCTGCCCAGAACACTCCGTCGGTCGTGTGCATTGCTGGACAATGCGTGCAGGGTTTCACAAACTTAACCCGTGAGTTTGTAATGCAATTCAGATATGCGAACACGTAAACTTACGTTGCTGATGTAGTGGGTGCAACTTTGAGCGCGCCTGGCGCGTCAACAAGTCTGCTCTTGCTTCCAGGTCAATACACCGAGACGACGAATCCTTCACTATTGCATTCTATCCTTACTTCGAGCTCAGCCACCATCTCAGGTTCCACAGGCTTTCAGAACAGTAGTAGTATCTCGTTACCCCTTTCCATCCAACTTCAACCCGGGCTCGCATTCTATTCTTCTTCAAACTATTCTGGTTCAGCTGCATATATCGCCCTTCCGACGTCAGCGAACGCGTCGAATGTAACGACTACTATCAATGGCGGGTCGTTTGTACTGTCGTCAAACACATGGGCCGAGTTAACCACCTCAGGTGGTCGGATCATCCTGTGGGACGCGTCGCCCGATATATCGCAATTACCCGGATTCATTTCTAGTGGCTTGACTCTCAATCAACTCCAGAGCGGGTCTTGCAGCACCCCTTGTGCAAGCGGCGGAGTCTGTACCTCTCAAGGCTCATGTGCATGTCTGCCAGGATTTACAGGATCATCTTGTGAGGCATGTGCGACTGGGTTTTTCGGAAAAAATTGTCAGGCCTGTCCGAGTGACTGCGAGACCTGTGATGACGGTATTAACGGGTCGGGAATCTGTCTGAAGAAACAAAGTAATGCTCAAAACTGCAACTGTTTGAATGGCCAATGTGCTAGCGATGGATCCTGCGCTTGTAACGCGGGTTGGGTTGATAGCTCGAATGGTACTAAGTGTGCTTCATGTGCAAATGGCTTCTTCTTGAGTGATGATGGATCGTGCAAAGGCAAGTGGAACATTGTATGTTTCGCTATCATATTACTGATGCTTCATTAGTTTGTGAGCTTGGATGCGCAACTTGCGCAGCTTCTACAGGAGCTTGTACCGCCTGCAAGAGCGGCTTCACCCTTTCCTCTACCGACTCTACCAAGTGCAATCCACCCTCGACTGCGACGACTACTGGCACTGTCTGCCCTGACGGCTCGTTTGCCAATGGCGCGTCTTGTGCTGCGTGTAATTCACTGTGTAGCACATGTACTGGGGCCACAGCCAACGACTGTGTCGTCTGCGGGACAGGGAGATTCCAGTTCAACGGGACTTGTGTGACAGTCGATGGCAATGGCGTATGTCAGACTGGTCTGACTACTGGGAATGGATTCGTTGCAGATAATAACAAGAAGGAATGTGAAGCATGTCCTGAGAAGTGTACGGCCTGTGGAATTCCTTCATTCAGCATTGCAAGTACGATCGATCAAGTACAATGCACAGCCTGTCTATCTGGCTTTGTACTCAGTAGCGGCCAATGTGTGGAGAACTGTCCAAGCGGGACATTCTTGGATCCGAAGGACAATGTAACTTGTTCAGCGTGCTCCTCAACTTGTAGCACTTGCGCGGGTTCCGCGACGTTCTGCCTAACTTGCTCAAATAACCAACTCGCTTCTGGTGGTGCTTGCGTGACGTCGTGTCCCTCGGGGACCTTTTCGTCATCCGGCGCATGTGTCTCGTGCCATCCTGATTGTACGACTTGTTCTGGGACATCATTTAACCAATGCTCAACATGCCCTTCCGATCGTCCCGTCCTGTCAAACGGCCGCTGTCTTCCCATATGCAGCAAAAACGAATTCTTTGATCCTGCTAGCAGCTCTTGTAAGAGCTGTGATAGCTCCTGCGCAAGCTGTAGTGGTTCAGGAAGCTCAAACTGCCTCAGCTGCGCAGATGGGAACAGCGTGCTTCGTGGCGGTAAATGCGTCGCCGGGACATGTGCAGCCAATACTGATGTCGTCCCTGGCCTTGGAGCATGCCTGAGTGACCTTGTTGCTATTCCTCAGGCATCCGGTTCTGGGACTGCCTCTGGTGCTTTACCGACTGTGACGGGCATCAACTCTCCGACGGTGGACGAGAAGGGTGGTTCGCACCTCGAGTGGTGGCAGATTCTTCTCATGGCACTTGGATGTGCTTTCATTCTACTCTGCCTTCTGTTGTGCCTGCGCCGTCGCATGAGGAAGAAGCGCGCGCAACAAACTCAGGAGTTTGCGAGGGCTAAAAAATTGGACGATAATCTCACCTGGCGTGAACGCGTCGTGAGGTTTGGTGAGCGCTTGTTCGGACACACCTTAGGGGAACGTGTGCTGGGGTCTCGCAAGCGTGGGGCGACAGGTCCCATTGCTCTGCGAGATGTTGGTAAAGGGACGGCCAAAGACTCCTATCAGATGCGTGACCTAGAAGAGGCACGGTATTCGCGCGACGTGGATAAGTTGCTCGATGGATACGCGTATTCTCGTCATTCACGTGAACCGTCACTCAATACGTATGAGAAGCGTTCAGATTACCTCTCGCGTCTTCACGGTGATGCAAAGTCCAAGTCATCAAGGTCTAAATCAAGTCGATTCCGACGTGACCGCGACCGAAGTGCCGATAAGGATGTCGACTTGAATACGATGTCCGATGAATCGATGTACACATATCTAACAGGTCAACCTCGTCGCACTGCTGATGCTCGTCAGCCTGTGCGTGATAAGCCTGCCTTCTCCTCACGCCTTACTCCTCTTGATACAAACGCTCGAGATCTCGACCGTGGACGAGATCGTTTAGCTTCACGTTTTTCCGATTCCATGTATTCTGAATCCAATTATGCGCCTCCGCGTGATCGACGAAGGCGTGATCATAGTCCTGCATCGAACGCGAGTAGCTCTCGCGCGCCAACTCCTGCGCAGGAATACGCATTGACTGTACGCGATCGAGAACATAGTCCTGCAAACCGAGGCCCCGCAGTGGATTATGGCTTGATTGACCTCGGAAATCAGAAAGATCAGTATGGAGGGAGAGGTGATTATTGGTTGCGACCTAATCATACTGGAGCAAGCAGTGGATCGAAGAACCCATTCCGTAGATGAACATGGTGTTATTTCCTTATTTCCGTTCCTTTGGATATTTGGACTTTAAATTTAAAAATGCATGTCCACACGCTCCATTTACTTGTCTTCTTTCAATTTCGTCTGTTTGAACGCTTACATGTATTACCCTCTAATCACTTTCGTTATACAGATTTCTTGTGCTGCAAATTATCCTTATAGCGTTACACTCACATATTTCCTTGCACCATATCATTTACTATTTACTATGTGATATGCTCCGATTAAACCCGTGCATGGATGCTGTCTGTTCCATTTTAATTGCTTAAATAACTTCAACTTTTATTCTGGCAATTGAGACTGAAACAGCAGCAATTGAATAACTGTGCTGCGGAAGCAAATAATGAATTTACATAAAAAGAAGTTGAAATGTATTCGTGGGAAAATTGGCTGTTCGTGGTGTGGGTCTTGTTTGTCGTTTAGACGCTGCTGGCGTATCAACCTCGTTCCCAACACCCATCTCTCCGCTCTCTCACTAACTCATACCTCACAAAAATCATGTCTGACGGTGAAGGTGGTGAAAAAAAGAGCGGCTACCGGCTTGAAGTCGCTCCCTCTGCTAGGGCACAGTGCAAGGGTGTGTTTTTCATCGAGCTTTATAGTCAATAATGAGAAACGCGATGTTGATACTTTCAATGGGAACCACATAGGTCCGAAGCCATGCAAAGGCGAGTCTTGGATTCAGATGACACGTAAAGGGAGCGCGACTGACGCGAATTTCTTTCTTCGTTGACAGGTACAAAAATCAACAAAGGCGAGCTACGACATGGATCTGTTGTGGATTTCCGAGGAAACACTTCTTTGTTCGTCCTTCCTCCCTTTCTTAGTATAATCTCCCTCTCTAATACTAGCTTTGACTGTGCAGTGCATGGCGTCACTGGGGCTGTGTCACTGAGCGTATCATCAAGAACATGAAAGCTGCGTTTGAGGATCCAACCGAACTGGACGGCTTTGATGAACTCCCAGAGGAACACCAGGAACGTGTCAAAAAAGCATACGAAGAGGGCCACGTAGCTGAGGAAGATATTCCTGAGAGTGCACGTAAGCCTGAAGGTGAAGGCGACGAAGAAGACGAGGAAGAAAAGAAGCCTGCGAAAAAGAAGCAAACGAAGAAGAGGGTTAGAGTAAGGCTTTTCTCCGTGCTATCGCACTATGTTGCTATACTAATATACTCTCGGAAGAGTGATGAAGATGGGGAAGAAGAGAAGGATGAAACTCCCAAGAAGAACCCCAAGCCTCGCAAGCGTGCCAAGGTTAGATATTCTCTCAGCTCTACACGTCATTTTCCTAACAAATACCTCAGAAATCGGATGATGATGACGAAGAAGAGAAGGGAAAAGAAGAAGAAAAGCCAAAGAAAAAGGCTGCACCCCGCAAGCGTGCCCCTAAGGTTAGTTTATTGAATGTATTCGATAAATTAATTTAATTAACGCTCCTGTTAGCAGAAGGATGAAGATGGCGAAGAGAAGCCACCTGCAAAACGTGGAAGAAAGAAGGCTGAATCGAAGGTAAATTTCTCATAAATGACACTTTATCCTGCCACTGTTCGATTCCTTATAATACTGTCTGGCAAATAGGCTGCGGAGGGCGATGAGGACGAACCAGCGCCGAAGAAGAAACGTGCAGCGCCCAAGAGCGGAGATAAGAAAGCCAAGAAGGTGAGTCTGAATGGTTATCCTGATGTTCTTAATTAACAAAGGAATGGCTCTTAGGTTGACGAAGATGAATCTGGCGAAGATTTCGGTGATGAACTGGATAAGGTGTCTGGCGATGAAGAGGATGAGGTTGAAGAGAAACAGAAACGCAAGAAGGTGGAGAAAGGCGTATCGAAAGGGAGGGTGTCAAAGGCTTCGGTAGTTGACAAGCCAGTCTCGAAGTCTAAGCCAGCCTCAAAAGCTAAGCCTTCTTCGAAGGCGAAGCCTGCATCTAAAAAGCCTACTAGCAAGGCTAAGAAAGTCGAGGAGAGAGCCGAGGAGGTTGCCGAAGAAGATTGAAAGAGTGGCTGAGATATCAAAAGCCTTTTAAAAAACACATGCACGTTCTCTACTTTGGACCATAGGACTATGCCTGCACCTTCGCGATCCATGTTCCGTCGTATGAATTGGCTTTCGGCTTGTTTCGTCTTGTTTTGCATCCATCATGCGACACCCTACTTTTATTCTGCCTGTGTATTGCTGCCGTACTCTGCATTTCGTTATTTTGCGCGTAGTTATTAATACACGTAATCCATCGATGTATACTACCGTTTGGCACGTTCTTGTAAATACATTATTATAGTTTACTTTATCCTTCCGCTATTAGCAAGACCGATGCTTCCATTTCAAATTTGATTTCTTGAGGTGAGAACTACAGGCAACTCCCCGAGTCGGAACACGAAGTGATTCTTCATGTCCTTCTCCCATTGATCCTTGTCATAGCCATGCGCAAACGAAATTTCAAATCGCTGCAAAAGCAGAGCAGTGACGCTGCGGATTTCGGCTAGCGCGAGCATCTTCCCAGCGCAGTTCGCGGGTCCATAAGAGAAGGGCATGTATGCCGAGGTGTCGTGAACGAAGTGCATTTTGGATTTCGAATCGGATTCCGTAGTTGGTGACGGTTGGAGCCAGCGGTCAATCCAGAACGTTTCCGGTATTGGGGAGAAGTATCGGGCTTGCCGGTGGAGGACGTACGGTGGGACGTTGACGGCCGTTCCTTCAGGAATAATACTAACACACAATATCTAAGCAATAATAAACATATTGGTATTAAGGGAACTCACTGCTCGCCGATTTGCTTGTATCTGGACCCCGCAGCAGGCGCCCGTTGCAAATCAGTAGGAACAGGTGGCTGAAGTCGCAGGGTCTCGTTGCTAAACACAAAGGACAAATTAACCTATTGCCCTAGATAGGGACTGAGATCAAAACTCACATCACAGCATTCAAGACGGGCAATTCAGCGAGTCTTGTGAAATCAAAAGGGTCACCTTCACCGAGCGGGAACGCCCCATCGAGCTCCTTCCTCAGCCTCCCAAGTACGGACGGGTTACTCAGCAAGTAATAGAATATATGACTGATCGTTGTCGCAGTTGTGTCCGACCCGGCAATGATAGCGACCTTGCAGTTCTCGCTCAATAAGGTTTTGTCATGGGCCGATTGGCATGAGCCTTCGATGTCCTCATTTGCAAGGTGGTAGAATAGATCCTTGTTGCGAGCACCACGTTGCACTCGCTCAAATATACAGTTGTTAACGAAGGTTGTAAATGTCACCATTGCTGCAACAACGTAGGGAAGGCTGTGTACAATATGAACGGACCACGGAAGTCGATGTAGTGTCGCTTGGGCTCTAATTAGAGTGAATAAATAATGTTTAGAAAACATACGACTAATAGCTTACAGCATTTGTTTCCCGATCATTCCCCAAATACCGCTGGTATCCCCGTCTTTCATGAGCTCGAACGCCCCGCCGAATCTACAACACAAGACTGAGTAAATCAAGCTGAACACGCAACTGTCTCCCTAACTTACGCCATATCACCCATGAAATCAAAAGCAAATCGGCTCAACCACATGGCAAGATCGACGCTCCTCGGACTCCGAGCATCGTTCCCCTTCTTAATAGTGAATTTTTCAAGCTCTTCAGCAAGTTGCAATGCTCTACGTTCAATCGTTGGCGTATATTCCTTTACTGCTGCGGAGCTGAATCCCTTTGACCACGGCTTCCTTAACTGTGCATGATCAGCAAGGTCGCGAGTAGCAACGATATTCGCAGGAACGCCAGGCATCCGAGCACCGTCGAACACTGTCGAGATCGCACCAGTTAATTAACGATCCGGAGATACAAAGGAAATAGAGATCTTAAAGGAAAATATAAATCCGAAAGGAGACTCACTCGGACCCTTAGGCATACCGTCAGGACCCATAATTTTCGGAATAAGAGAGGCGTCGATGAAAGAGAGCTGATTAGGACCTGGAGGTAACATATTAGTGGCTGAACATGATTAATAAAATTATGCGCGGGAAGACTGACCGATGCGGACATATGGTCCGTGTTTTGCGTGCAAATCCTTCAGTGTCTCGTGCCATCTTCCGGTTGCGGTCTCATAAGCTAGCCAGAATTGTGAAATCTTCGCGGTAAAGGGGCCAGGATATCGAGCCAGGGGGTGCCATGGGGAGATCCGATACAGGACAATGCTCGAAAGAAGGGTGGAGTAGAAGACAGAGAAGCCGGCAAGTACCGCAAATCCTGCCGAATAGTATTGAAACAGGAACAGTGAAGATGCTAACGGTACATCGAATAGCAGGAAAATTGTGCTATAAGGACTTGAGGGATGGATCTCGAACTTCTTGTAGACAAAGTAAACGAGCTATAGCGCGAATACGGCCAAGGCACACTGGTGAGAACAAATTCCTAGAGGCAGAACGTGTAACATACCAGCCCAGCAGCGAAGGGTATCATCGCGGAATCGCGGAAAGAGAGGACTGGAAGCGAGTTGAATAGAGCCATGACGGAAAGCCTACTAGTCAGGGGGCAGAGAGGATGGGGCCTCGAGAGCTCTTATATACCAATCTCTGGAGCAAATGATTGGTGACTCCGTTGTCGTACCGCAGAGACGGGACGTAGATCGAAACCGCAAAATCTCCGGCCGAGGTGCGAGAATGCAGACATGTGTAAAAATAAGAGACTTGGAACCATGTCAACCCCAACGCTGAAGCACCGCAAATTGACAACTTGTGATAGTGGCGCTAAGTAATGCAATCGGCTTTCGCCTCTTGCTGAAAACGACAATAACCTTAGCAAAATGAAACACCCAGAAGTCTGAATAATGTGCGATTCATCCAAATATAACTAGCACGGCCGAACGAAGGCGGATAATTGAATTGGAAGGTAACGTGCCTGTGAGGTGTTTGAGCTAGACGTGAACCCACGAGTGAGGCATCACAAGTTTCACTCTCAAAGTACATTCTAGATCACAGACGGAGTCAGTACCGACTAGCTATAAGTCACTGATAGGCTTATACACCGAGCGCTTGAAGAAGCAGTGCTTACATTTTGATGGAGACGTCTCGGACAATGCATTACTCAACGTCTATACGTGCGATCCCTGCAAATGTCGACAAACCTAGTAACAAATTTTCAAATGGGCCCTTATTTCCCATGTAACAACGTACGTTTCTTGAGTCATATCAATTGTTGCAGAGAGAAAACGGTCATACCGTCGTCATCAGCGGAACAAGACTCAACATTCAGTCGTAGACTCGTATCCACCAGAGATGGTTCGACGGACCTAGAACCGAACCGAGTATGAAAAGGCACCGCTGTGCCTTCGCAATCGTCGCAATCGCGACACTATAGCACATAGGGACAACCAGCGGTGGGGAATGGGGCACCGCCAAGTACAGATTCCATGTTAAGGTTGAAACATAAGCCGCGTCGACACCGGACGTCAGAGTTTCTTAAGACCGCTCAGTAGTTAAATTACTAGACTCGGAGATAAGTTTCCATGACCCTGGTCACGCAGACAGATAGCTCTAGGTAAAAGTCAAATGATACAATCGCAATTAGAAACTCTTGCATCAGGAGATATGCACGTGATTCTCAGAATTCTCAATGACATAATATTCAAACAAAATTGCATCCATGATACAAGCGGGTCACTGTCTGCACAAAGGTTAACACTTGGATATCTAATCTGAATTTTTGGAAAGTTTCCTTTCCGTAGATTCATAATCTCCAGAGTCGCCGAGGAACGCCATTATCGGGCTATATGGCCGAGTGTAAATTGACCGAATTTGACAATATTTACCACAACTCACCGACGCTCAAGCCACAATGATCGAAACCCGGAAACGCCGCGACGTGGGTATTAGACCCTCTCGACTCACTGCCTTGCACACGTTCCAGTTTGAAAGTAAGAGATGCCGGGTTCTGAGACCTGGAATGCTTTCCAGTAGGTACGAGTTGTGTACTCGCAGCTTATTGAACTTCCGTTTTGTATGGCAACGTATCATCATTGATCACACGTTCACAGGTTCAGCGCTGCATTTTTAACACAACAGCATCGGCCTTAGATGGTGAATTGCTGCGGGACAACCCGCTATAGATGTCACCATTACAGTGTAGATCCTCAATTACGGCTCATTGAGACGTTGCCTCCTCAATCTTGTTCTCAAGTTTTTATCATAAAATCAAGAATTCTCACCTGTCTGGGGGATCATTCACTTGAATTTTATACAGCGCACTATGACGGTCCGGCCGGCTTTTTGAGGGCGCTACTATTGATACATAATGGAGGGTCCGCGCGCATCACTGAGCGTCCGGCTGAGGAAACCGGAGTATTATGTTAGGGAGGGGGAGCGACGAGAGTTACAACGTCCATCGTATATCGGGGCCCGTCATTCGCGTTCTAACGGGCTGCGGTTCTTCCGTGTAGGAATTGTACGATTTGACACGTGAATACGATAAAACAAATACTCAACGGTGTTACTTGCGACTGCCGGCACATTTCAACCATGCCATCATACTTGAAATACGGTTCTCCTCTTGTTGACATCGGTTGCAGAATTTTCAAAACGGCTATGGAACTAGTACACCTCCCATATCCCAATGCGTATATTACCATGGCGAGGGTATCGGAAGGAACGGTCACTCACTCCAACTTAATTTGCATTTCCTTGCAATCTTTACTTTCTGTCTTTTTCTCCATATGTCCTCAAGCTGATCCGAGACGGACCAACGATCGTTTATAGGAATCCGGTAAGTAAAGAATAATGGTATAATTGTAGCTGGTGCTTCACTACCCCTTCTCTGCCTATTAAGTTCAATATCAGTAAGTTACATGTATATTCGATTCCCTGTGTTTCGTAGGGCAATTGTTGTTTTTCAACCGCATGCATAGCTCATTTGCTGCTTTAACTTCGTACACCCTTTCTTTAGTTGAACGTCCCCCAATATGAAGAAAGGGCTGGAAATAAATGGTCGGCCTAGATGGCCCTGACTTGAGGCGTTGAGGACATCCGAACATCACGACATGAAAGTCAGCAAGAGCAAGACAGGTCTAGAATGAATAGGAAGTACCCAACCCTGCACTCGTCCTTGCAGGTGTATCCCCGTGTCAGCTCGAAACTATTACATTTCTTATAATCAAGCCAACTCATATTTTTACAAGGAATGTGCCAGGGAAGGGAGACGTGCTATAACTCAGGTGTACTCCTTTACCTCATGTAATACATCCCTGTAACTGAGAATCATCATAGGTAATGTATGTATATAGGTATGTGTTCAACTGTCCCAGTCGGAATCAGTCGGAATAGCATTACTGTTCAAATTGTTGATCTAAAGGACAGTACCAATTTTTATAATATGGACACAGATTGTGTCCAAAGAATAGACAGCCAATAGCAATAAAGATACTTATATCAAACCAATAAGGGGGTAGAGGGGAGGGACAGAAAATAAAATGTGTATTGTATGTGTAATGGGAGTAGGAAACTCAGATGAAAAGGAAAAGAATTGTGTAGAAATAAAACAGATGTTATAATATATTATTTTCTCTTTTTATTTTTATTTTTTGTCTTTGACCAAGCTGTTTACAAATCAAAGTCAGATTTTTCTACACTACTTATTCAGAGGGAGCACAGTTTTTGTACTCTAGAGAAGTTACTCTAGTTATTTCTTAACACTTTGAGTACTTGCTTCTTCAATGTGTCTCTTGAACTTGTCTGATAAATTGATATTTTAGATTGATTACATTCAACAGTTGTGTTACACCCTTTCAGAGAGCTAGGGAAGGGGTAGGTGCCTTTAAGGTTTTTCCAACAAACTATCAATCTATAAGACAGTCTGATAGCCAGTTAGAAATAAATGCAGGATAGAGGTAGATAGTGTTGAAGACAGGGTGAGATGTTCTGCTCAACTGACTTGCACAAGGGAACTTCATGGAATTCAGCAGTCTCTGCCTTGTATCCTTCAAATGATATGCTTGTCCAAAGACATGCTCAAGATTCATACTGGAAAAGATAGTGTGTTGAAACTTTGGCACTACAGACATTGACTCAGTAATAAATGGATAAGGAATCATCACTCTACGGTTTTGATTACCCCCTTCATGCTCATTATTGTGATTATCACTGTAGTGCAGTAGGAAAAATACAATCAACTTTGCAATATTTGAACCTGGATCCTTCTTCGAGCTTGACACGTAGCAACCTGAATCCTGATACAGAAGGCTCTGAGCACGTATGAGTCGGTATGTGAATGAAGTTAGCTTAATGACTACGGCGCAGTCGTTGCACGCTGCCGATAGTAATCGTCAGCGTCTTGATCGGCTTCGTGCGACGTGTTCGTGTCGTGTAACTTACAGGTTACTGCATTACGACAGAGGTGCGATGTAATCGTACGTAAACGTGATTTGGTCATTCTATGATTAGCTCTCTTACCTTATAAGGGTACCATCTTTAGCATGTCCCTACCGTTTGGATCGGAACCGCAGCTTTCACCGCCAGAGTTTGATTCGCGAAGTTCGCAAGCTGTGCATATTGATCAGTGAAGCCAGTCCGACACGTAGGATGATCCTCCTGTCTGTACCATTAAGCGCTGCGGGTATAAATACAGCAATGCTTTGAGACATGGTACTCTATCTATCACTATCAGTTCAGTCTTAAACTCGTACTCTACAGTCATGTCTTCAGATAACGCACCTAAGGTCCTCGTCGTAAGTCTATTTCGCATTTCTACAGCTGTTTAAACTCACTGCTATTTGCTTGTTTGTCGTAGGTTGGCGCAGGCCCTGCTGGACTTATCCTAGCACTAAGTCTCCTCAAGAACGGCATACCCGTACGCATCATCGAGAAAAACACTCAGCACCACGTTAGCGAGCGCGGCTCTGGTATCTCAGTACGTCCGTCTCCTCTATCTATCATTTCATTCTCCCACTTTCTTCAAAAGTCTGACACTAAGTATGTTAACAGTGTCGCACGTTGGAAGTCGAGTTGTTCCTCGGTGTCGGGAACGACGTCCTAAACACAGGATTCGATGCTCCAATTATGCAGATTCATGACCCGAAAGACCCGTATAGGATCGTCAAGACGTTCCCGATGTTGGAGAAGATAGACCCTACGCCTGCGTTCCCAGTCGTACGTCTCTCATTTAATATTGATTACCCTTTCTAACGGCATGTTGTTAACTTTTTCTATTGTAGACGCGGGCTGTCATGCTAGGCCAATGCATCCACCAACAAATCATCCGAAAGCACCTCGAAGCACTCGGGTGCCAAGTCGAACTCGGCACCACTCTTTCTGGACTTGAGCAGAGCGAGGACGGCGTGACTGTACGCTTGACGAAAACAACGACGAATGGCGAACAAGTGGAAGAGACTGCGAAGTTCGCGTACGTTGTAGGAGCAGATGGGGCGCGCAGTAAGTATATTCATTCTAAATTCTTTGCACAAATTTTAAGTTGTCTTTTTGATTCTTTGCTTTTGAAGGTGCTGTTCGTAAACAGATGGGTGCAGATTTCGTTGGCGAGTCTAGAGATTTTAGGGTATATCTCATCGATGCTCGTATCGAAGGTGTTCAAGACGACAAGGTGAGGCGTTCTTCACTTACATATAAAGCTTCCTTAACTGAACAGACTTTCTTCAGCTCGATTTCCATAGATGGGGAGACGGAGTCAAGAACGTGTACGCATACCCTTCCATTCACCTTTCATTTATCTTTCCACTAACTTTGTTTTATTTGTTTATTTGTTTAATAGAGTATCCCTGAGACATTCCGTCCGAGAAGGGATATTCCAACTACTCCTCGCGGGTGAGAATATTGACTTTGACACTGTGACGAAGGGTACTCCGGAAGCCATTCAGGCGGAGTTTCATAAGCTTTCTGGGAGGACAGACTTTAAGGTTACAGAGGTCATTTCTCATGGTGAATGGCGGTGAGTGATTTCTTTTGATACGAAGACACTTTGGTTGATAAGTTTCGTTTTCTTTAGTCCTAATATGCGTATTGCGGATCGTTTCCGTGACGGACGGGTGTTCATCGTCGGAGATGCCGCACATGTGCATCCACCTACAGGAGGTCAGGGCCTCAACACTAGTGTTCAAGATTCTGTAAGTTCATATTATCCAGCCATGGCTTATTTAACTGATCTTTAATTCTGCAGTTCAACCTCGCATGGAAACTGGCACTCGTCATCAAGAACCAATCCCCTCCGTCCCTACTCGACTCATACGAACACGAACGTATGCCAGTCATAGTTGAGATGCTTCAACTCACGACAGATATCTTCAACAAGATGTCTTCTCGCGTTGAGACTCTCAAAGCTCTCAAAGATGCTAAAGACGCTAAAGACTCTTCCACCTTGTCAACGAATCAGGAGAGTACGATGAAGCGAGGGTGGACGTTCACGCAGCTCGGTATAAATTATCGATGGAGTGAAGTTGTGTTTGATGAGCGGTTCGCGAAAGTGGAGGGGAAGGAGAAGGAGAAGAAGGAAGCGTATGGGAAGAGGGGGTATGATGTGAGAGCTGGGGATCGGGCGCCTGATGCTCCTGGTTTGGACACTTTGCTTAATGCGAAAGAAGGAGAGAAGGTTACGCGGTTGTTTGAGGTGTTCAACCCTTCGACGCATACGGCGTTGATCTTTACTTCGAACCCTTCGGACGCTACGACTCGTGAAGTACTCGATTCGATGACAAAGCTGCATAGTGGGCTCGTCCGTACCTCTCTTATCCTCCCTAAAGATAGCTCGTACACAGCTAAGGATATATCCTCCCCCGGTATCGACTTTGTGTTTAAGGACACGGAGGGACATGCGTACACGGGATACGGTATAAACGGGAACGGTGAGCTGGAGAAGGCTACAACGGTTGTGATTGTTCGGCCGGATGCGGTCGTTGGCGCGTTTGCGATGAGCAAGGCGGGTGTGGATAGGTATTTGTCGACTGTTTTCAGCTCTGGTTAGAAGGGAAAGGGGGCTTGGACTTTTATGAGGTATTAGTAGAACTATGTAGGTAGAATAGCAGGTAGGTAGTTAGGTAGGTAGGTATAAACTCATGTAACGTTTATAATAGTTGTAATCAAGAGGTATAAAAGAGTATATAGCAAGCCAAGTCATCTCAATTGAGAGAAGTGGACGTCGGGAAAGGAGTGAGAGTGATGCGAAACGAGACGGAGCAGCCATCCGGAGTGTATGATATTGATGATCGACGACGAGGTGATGCCGCTCTCGCCCGTTGCCTCTGTTGAGTGTTGTCCCACGAAGGGCTTGCCTCCGCCGCTATCTCCCTTCTCCTTCGTCCCCCTTCACGCCCATCTCGCATGTGCTCTCCTCATATCCACGATCAATAATTCCCCTTTGCGAGCACACATGCAGCGTGGCACTCTACGCGACGTCCTTGCTTCCCTGCCCTTCTCTACTACTTGGTCTTCCACCTCCCACTCAACCAACAATGTCCACAACCACCACCACCAATTGCCGCTCATGTCCTCTTCCCCGTTTTCTTCCTTCTCCAAGTCTGAGCTTTCTGAGCACTTAGATATCGAGCAAGAGAATAGTGGGAATAATAATCGCAATGCACGACATCCACGACCTTCGTCTTCGTCCTTTTCCTTATCATCGTCGTCAACCAGCACTTCACAATCCTCAACGACCGCGAAACTCTTCTCCGGCAGCCAACTCTCTTGGCTCATTCTCTACTTCTTCTCCAACCTCTCCCTCACCCTCTACAACAAATTCGTTCTCGTCCGTTTCCCATTCCCTTACACCCTTACCGCCTTACACGCCCTCTGCGGTACGTTGGGAGGGTACATATTGATGGAACGTGGGGTTTTTGAACCGAGGGCGTTGAGTTCGTCTGAGAACGTTGTTCTCGTGGCGTTTAGCGTGCTGTATACTGTGAATATTGCCGTAAGCAATTTGAGCCTGGGGTTGGTTACTGTTCCTGTGAGTGAGACGATCCTCTTCTCGGAGACCGCGAGCTTCGATTGTTTATTTTTAATTTTAATGGCGATGCTGACGACTCAACCTTCGCGGGTGATGTTCTATTGTAGTTCCATCAAGTCGTGCGTGCTGCAACGCCCATATTCGTCATGGCGATCTCGTACCTTTTCTTGAACACTCGGTTCAGCGCGAGGAAGCTTTGGACGCTCTTACCTGTCATGGCGGGTGTTGGCTTCGCGTGAGTAATCTCTCTTCTTCCCACCATCTCATCCTTCGCTTCTTCGTTCACCTCGGACTGACTAACGGAAATCAAAATCGTCTGTAGGACGTTCGGCGATTATTACTTCACGACGTGGGGTCTTCTCCTCACGCTCCTCGGGACCTTCCTCGCAGCTCTCAAAACTGTGTTTACCAACGTTCTCCAATCGCCTTTACCAAATAGCAACGACAGCAGCAGCAGTAGCAATACCTCAGATGGCGGTCACTCTTCCTCCCCCTCTTCTTCATCCAATTCGTCGTATACACACCACCGCGCACCCTCCATCGGCCAACCAACCCGCCCCCACCCACTCTCCCGCATCCGTCTACACCTCCACCCGCTCGACCTCCTCTCGCGCATGTCACCCCTCGCCTTCGTCCAATGCGTCTTCGTCGCTCTCCTCTCCGGCGAGCTCGAGCGTGTACGCGTAGCTTCTGCACGCGAGATGGGTTGGGGAAGGGCGTTGGCGTTGATGACGAATGGGATGTTGGCGTTTATGCTTAATGTTGTGAGTTTTACGGCGAATAAGAAGGTTGGGGCGTTGAGTATGACTGTTGCTGGTGCGTTTCCTTCCCTTCTGCCTTCCCCTCTTTCCGACCTTTGAATGAAACGTGTACTTATGGGGTGTTGTTGTTTATGTTTATCATTGCAGCAAATGTGAAACAAGTCCTTACGATCCTGTTTGCTGTCTTCCTATTCGATCTCACCATCACACCCGTGAATGCGTTGGGTATTATATTGACACTTGTGGGTGGTGCGTGGTACGCATCGGTGGAGTACCAGGAACGACAGCAGAAACGAAGAAACCAGAGCTTAAAGACATCGGCAGGGTCGTAGAGTCGGACCGGATAAGTATCTGTTGTCTGTTGTAGATTATAGATCAGGTTAGTGGGCAGGTAAAATGGAGGACGATACCGCCCGCTCATTCACTTCACTCGATGATTCACACATAGAACGAACAGGCATACCATACATATACATATTCAGACACATGCATATCATATCATATCATACGTACTATTCCCTTCCTTACCTCTTTCATCTGGGTTTCCTTTCTCTCTCTTCCGTCCCTCTCTTCAGTCCCTCTTTTTATATCTCTCCTTCTCTCTTCCACTCTTTTACTTAGCTCGGTATAGGTATAGGTGTTAGGTATCATTATTATCATTATTGACATTGACTGTCTGTTTTGTTGATACAATCAATCTACGATCCATATCTTCATATCTTCATAACCCCATAACTATTAATTTTTGTGTCATATATGAATATTTAAAAAAATTATAGTTTAAAAGAAGTATGAATTACTCAACTTTGATATATGTGTACACTGAGGTATTCAACACTATGTAGAGAATGTGCTTACAGTAGACTAGTACAACTTGTTACTATCTGAACACATCATTTTTTACTATCTGAATTCTGAATACACTAATACTCTTCTCAGACAGAAAATAATATCAATTCTCTCTCTGAATGTTTCCCATCCAGATATCTTATTAAAGGATCCCTTACTTTTCTAAGAAAGGAATAATAAGCTCAAAGATAAATATGTAATTAAATTTTCCAGATTATATGTTAGAGTTAGAATTATTATTATTATCAATTAGTAAAGTAGTAGTACTTTGTAAATATAGAACTTGAAGACAGTGAGTTGTGACAGATATTACTGTAACAGGCAACAAATAACTCTGAACTATAGGTAGGGCATGAAATACTATATCACGCATTGTACTAGGGAACTTTGCTTTATGGGATCAAATTATGTTTTCAACAAAAAGTGAGCAACATTCTGGTGAGTGAAACTAGTGATGCTGAGTTGCTACAACTGAGGGATGGGATATTGTTATCACTCAGAAGGTTGAAAACATTCCTGCCATCGTTTGCTAAGAGCAGCATTTGTAAAGTCCAACCTTGTCAAGAATGCACAGCTGAACATTGTAGTGTTTTGAGGTCGCCAAAGTGTTGGTCGGATGTCAGGCAGAACCTACACCAGTAACTCTCCTTTGTGTCCACGTATCCATCCATCTTCGTCCATTGTCCGGTCAAGGACGGGATTTATATTGAGAGCAAAGTTAGGAATACAGTGTCAGACATTGATCACTAGGTAAGAAGGAAGTTGTAGTTGCACCTTCTACATTCCACATTCTAATTGTACAATCTGCAGAGCCAGAGCCGACAGGTTTACCATCCGATGAGAATGCGACAGACAGGACTTTATCTGTATACCCTTCAAAGGGTCCAAGGAGAGCTTGTTCACTCTCTGTGTCCCAGACTCGGGTTGTCCTGTCATTGGAACATGAGACGACACGCGTTCCGTCCGGGGAGAAGGTAACTGACATGACCTGGACTGTATGACCTTCGAAAGGCCCAGCAATGTCATGTCTACTCTCGAGTCTCGACACTCCAGATTAAAATAATCTCGTCATCAGAACCCAGAGATAATGTGTGCTGTCGAGTGAGCAAGCCACAAAACGAACCATACCTTTGTGTCCTTTCCAGGGACCGGAAAATATCCTCCCACCTTCAACATCCCATACTTTGATTTCGTCGCTGGAACCAGAGACAACGTACCTCTAATCAGGCAAGAAAGCAACGCATCTGACACCGTACTCATATCCTTCGAAAGGGCCGGAAATTGTTTTGCCACTTTTAACACCCCAGATTCGGAGTGTTCTGTTATCAGAGCTAGACGCAACGCGTGCCCCATCTAGCAAGAAGCAGACTGAGTGGACACACCACCTTTGCCCTACAAAGGGTCCAGAAACCACATTTCTACTTTCAGCGTCCCACACGAGGACTGTTCCATCCTCGGCGCCAGAGACGACACGCCTTCCATCTGGTGAGAACGCAACACACTTGACAAGTGACTTATGCCCTTGAAAGGCCCAGAGACCATGTATCTACTTTCAGCGTCCCAGATTCTAATCGTTTTATCATCCGTAACCCAGACACAACGTGTTTACTATCTGGCGAGAAGGCAACAGATCTTACTACATCCGCATGCTCTTCAAAATCCTCAGAAACGATCTGAATACTCTCGGCGTCCCAGATTCGGATCGGTCTGTCCTCGGAGCCTGAGACGACACGGGTTCCGTCGGGAGAGAGTTTACATAGTCAGAGTGCTCTTTGAAAGGCCCAGAAACGACATGCCGAGCCTCAACGTCCCAGATTTGGATTGTGCTATCCTCGGAGCCAGAGGCGGCATGCTTGCCGTCGGGCGAGAAAGCAATGGAAGTTACTACATCGGTTTGGCCTTCGAAAGGCTCAGAAATACATTACCCGCTCTCAGTGTCCCAAATCCGAATCGTGTTGTCCACAGAGCCTGGGGAGACATGTGCACCATCAGGAGAGAAGGCAACCGACCAAATGCTGTTTGTGTGACCTACGAGATGGCCACGAATGGTCTGTCTACTTTCAACGTCCCAGATCCGAATAGTCTTGTCCATTAAACTAGAGACGATGTGCAGTCCGTCAAGAGAGAATGCGGCAACAGAATGCCCACTGTCTACATGCCCCTTGAAACACTTGACAGCCTGTCTGCTCTCAGTGCCCCAGACCATGACAGTCTTGTCCGCCAATCCGGAGACAAGATGCATTCCGTCCGGTGAGAATGCAACTGAATAGACCATGTCATCATGTTTAATAAATTCAGAAATAATCTGCCCTTTCTCAACGTCCCAAATTCTGACTGTAAATTCATCAGACCCGGAAACAACGTGCACTCCATTAGGAGTGAAAGCAATTGACTTTACCTGGCCTGTATGGCCTTCAAGTGGTCCAGAAACGACTTGGCCACTTTAACGTCCCAGACACAGGCTGTATTATCCCAGGAGCCGGAGACAACACGAATACCGCCAGGTGAGAACGCAACAGAGTGGACAGGTCTCTCATACCCTGTAAGCTCCTTCAAGAGCGGCGGCCGCTGCTTTACGCCTATCTTCTCTACTTGTACAATGGGTAGATCAGGCTTCAAGTAATGGGCTATATACTTCGACTCTCTCGATGCAAGTAGAAGGAAAGAGACGAAGATGTGTGATGTCGATTGGGAAATGGCAGACAAATGAATAGTAATCATTCTAAGCACGTCCCTGAGGGACGCTAGTGTGTGGGCATTGTGTGGCTGTATAAGGATAATATAAGGATAAGCTCTACTAGTAATAGCACATCTATGTACTCACAGAGACCCAATTCATAGCATGAAGAAGTGCTGGGCTAGCAGTGTTGACCTTTTTTGAGAGGCTTATCATCTCAAGCCAATACAGTAGACATTTATTAAGGGAGTCTGACAGCTTTTCCAGAAACGGGTGCGAGAATGGAGCCTCGAGTAAGTACTGGCTCCAGAAGAGGCACGAGTTCTCCAAGTGAGGAGGAATGCTCGCCTTAATTCGATCCGGAAGGTTAGAGATCTGATCGTTAGGGATATATGATGACGCTATTTTGCAGATGTTGAACCGCAGCATGCTCTTCATGACATCGAATCATCGCGAAGCAATCAACTGCTTTTGAGTCCCAAGATTAATAGACCACGAGTCGCTTTTGCGCCCTGATGACAGTAAGTATTCGCGGAAGATGTGTGACAGAAACCGATAGGTTCTCCCCAAGCAAATACAAGGACAGAATGTAAACGAGATAGGATTAGCCTCGATGGCTCGTCGCTCGAAAATCTCAGAAGCCCGTCGATGGTATCGTCAGTGAGCCGAGTCCTGCTCAGAAGGACAAAACCAAACACCTGCGAAAACCGAAGCTTGGACGATTCATCGTCGAATGAAATACCCAAATTTCTAAGGATAGAGTTATAGAGTTGCTCGAAACCAGAAAGACGCTGCGATTCGGGTACAAGATTTGTAAGCCTCAGGGCAGGGTTATTGCAATCCACTACTTTCACTGCTATCGAGGCCCAGACGGACAGTCTTGCTGCAGCTTTCGCAAGGCGGTCTATTTTCAACTACCAGTCATCAGGAATCGGCAACTCCCTAATCTCGAACACATTGCGCATTGAGTACTCGAGATAGTGAAGCACGTCCTCCCTGCAGCGTTCTGATCCGTGATCCAGTTCAACGGCAAGAATGCGATCAGGTCGACCACAGAAAGGTCGTTTGATGTCTGATTCCTTCCTGCTCGTGATCAGGAACCGAAAGTTCTTTGGGAGTTCTGGTAGCCCTTCCCGGAAACTCTCCATTAGGCTCCGCCTTGTCCTTTGCGTACCGCATTCGTCCAATGCGTCGAGAAAAATTACAACATGGCCTTGCATAGCTTCCCTAGACAGAGAAAGTGGACCATGAAGCAGATTCTCAAACGCGTTGCCGAAGTGGCCTGTGTAATATCGTTGTCCCGATCTATTGCTGCAATTACATTAGTCCCCACCGAAGAGTCGAATGAGGTGAGTTTATACGCATATGTTCGGATGACACAGCACGAAAAATAGATGGGCTCCGAGACGGGATAAGCCACGGAAACGTTCTGCGGTCGTTGTACTGGCTGTGCTCTTACCAGATCTTGCCGCACCGTACAGCCAGAAGACATTCTGGTCTGAGTCCGATAGCATCCATTCTACCGCCTGCTTCATGATTTCCGTCCGTGTACCACGAAGGCATTGGTGCTGATTAAAGGCATCCATTCTATCTGGCTGCGGTCGGTCCGACAAAACTAATTGTATTGCCTTAGTGTTGATTATCGCATGTAAAGATGCGGCACGTACATAGGTTATTGATTTCGAATGACGTCCTCGATGAGACAAAAGCAGAATGAAGAACGGCACCCGAGTCGACTGCGTGAATTCTTCAACTTTTCCGTCCACGTCCGTCTTGAGCACTCGTCCTACGCGGAATGAGTCTCTAATGAGTAACATGTTGATGCTGGACGTACCTGTGAACGTATGCCGGGCGTATTCTTGAACGAAAAGACAGCACTCGCCCGTCTGCTTTAGGAGTTTGATCATGGTTGTCTTGAGATATTGTGCCTTATTACGAAGGAAGTCTGCATGATGAACGAAATTGAAGGCATCCTTCATGACATGCAGAGTTCAACGACTTTCTCGTCGACTTTGAACCGATGACTGATGGTCTGAAGAAGACAATTTGAAATGTCATTGTCAAATGTCACCCTGTTTCGCATACCTTGTACAGTGCCAATGCAACTTGCCCTGCAAAATTAACGAGTGGATGGACCTGGTACTTCTCATAAATACAGGTATGTAACAAAAGTCTTCATCATTCCTCAAAAGGTAAGTGTATTTGTAAGTGATCTGCATTGACTTATAAGGCTGTCAGAGACACATCAAACCTTTGTCTTACATTTCTAGCATACATGAACACATTATACACACACAAAACATGAAAAATACAGGCTATTTTGTGAAAATAATACAAAATTCTTTTTTTTGTACTTCACAATGTGTATATCAGAGCTCTGATCTACATCTAATTTCTATGTATGGTATGCAAATCACTTACAAATACATCTACCTTTTAAGGAATGACGAAGACTTTTGTTACATACCTGTACATAAATTCTCTGTAATCATGATAGTGGGACACTAAGCTGAGGGAGTGGTTGAACACTGTGGATAATGTTACACATAAATGGCAACACACAACATACCTGTCACTCTCACCACACCAATAAAACAGAGATGCAGAAAAAAGCTACAATTCATTATTAGAGCGAGAGAGTTCGGAGGGTCGGTCCTACCTACTTCAACGAGTGCAAGCAACTAACTAACTAACTAGCTAACTGAACAAAAGAGAAAACGAGTGGAGAAGAACGAGAGCAGCGTAGCAGCAGCAGCAGTAACGACGCGAGGTGTTCAAACTTGGAAAGTCCGTACGTACGATAGACATAAACGCTATATTAAAGAAAATGGAGAAAAGAAAAGTGAAAGTGAAAGAGAAAGTCCCTATGCCGATTACCAAAAGAATAAACCGTGGATTGTTCGTTTCGTAGTGTGAAAGTCGCTAATGCAGGGATGCGGGGTGGTGATGGTGAAGAGCGACTGGAAAGAGAGTAGTATGCGATGATGTCTTTATTACAGTAATGTCTGTGATGATGAATGGGTGGGTGGCATGTCCGAGTCCATATCAAGCAACGAAAGCAAGGAAGGAAGGTGCGTAAGCCTGTCTGTCTGTCTATGATTCCGAGAGGATCTGGTCGATAGATTGGTTAAGGAAGTCCTTCCGTGACGAAAGGTCCGCTCGAGGGAATTTGGCCGCAATCGCGTCTCGTGCAGTCCTAAACAATCGCACACAAATAAAATAAAAATAATCAGTAACCCTTCTCTCGAAACAGCCCAAGAAAAAAACACGGGACAAAACGGAAATACTCACTTCTTCGTAACACTCATCAAATCCTGCGTACTCAAATACGCTCTCAACGCAATAAGTAGCTCCTCATCACTCGGGTTCTCATTCATATTCGGCCCACTCGCGAAGGGGTTCATCGTCGTCGCAAGCGAGAACGTCGACATCGGTCGCTGCATCCCTATCGGCTGTTGTGGAGGCTGCATCTGTTGCCCCATACCACCCATCATCGGTCCACCCATTCCCATGCCCATCCCAGGCGCACCACCAAACCCACCAATTTGCGAACCAGTTCCCGAAGGCATCATCGGCATCCCATACATCGACGCCGGAGCCCCAAAGCTTGGGCCAGTGTTCATCTGTCCCATAAAGTTACCCGTAGCACCAAAGTCCGATCCACCGCCCATAACAGACCCCGCCGTGCCAAATGGTGCAGCAAACGGCATCGGTCCCAGTTGCGGCGCCGGTTGCGACATCGACGCGCGTCCCGTATGATGCGATAAATTGCTCAACGAGGGCTTATTCGGCAATCGCAAGTTCGGGTTCGAGGAGTTATTGTACGTGAGGTTCGTATCCCTGTAATAATCCCCAGATTGTGATGCCTGGTGGTAACTCCTGATAGACCCAGGTCGAGAAGATGATGGGTTTTGTCTCGAGTGGTTACCAGAGTCATACCCAGTGTGCCGAGTATCATCCGAGCGATGCGAATCTTCGTGCTCCCATGCCTCTGCTTCATATTCTGAACATATTATGAGTACCTCGCAATCTTAAGATAAGACTTGGAAATCCACTTACCGCTGAACTTCTTAAGCGGGATCATACTATCATCGAACTTCTCATCCTCAGCCATGATAACCTTCTTATTGTTACCCTCGCCAACGACTAGACGCGTGTTACCCCAACTGAAGTCGTCCATGCACCAGAACGAGTAGATCGGCAGGAAGAAACTGTACACCGGGTACCTGTAACGAGCACATGAGAAAAATCAAGAAAGAATAGCCGGGCAGAGCCAGAATGGACTTACGAAAGCAGATAGACAATCATCCACCCAACAAGCATGAATTCTCTCTTGATGATGAATATAAGAGCCTGTAGAAAATTCAGTCAGATATTGTCGTCATTGGCAGCGTAGCAGACTAAACGAACCTGAAGACCATAGACGGCAGCAATCATAATAAGTGAGATCGTCGGAATCGCGCCTGCACCAGTTGCAACCGTGACAATCAAGTAGACGAGCTAGAAATAAGTCTGAAGTTAGCAACGTTAAGTCGTAGAAGTCCAAATCACATACATAAATGACAGTGGCCGGCAAGATCTATAACAATTACAACATCTAATTAGTACAGGCAACAACATAGAGACTAGAATGTATTCCACTTACGATCGTCCCAAGCAAATCGATAAACACAATAAACCGCATCGAGAAACAACAAATCCCACACAGCTCCGGCAAGAACACCAATTCACACAGATTATGCACAGTCGAGTTAATCCATCTCCTCCTCTGCGAAAGTAAAACACTCCACGACTCAGGCGCAACAGTATGTGCAAGCGCATCAGGTGTAAACTTTAACCGGAACGTAGGGAAGTGTTTAATCAATAACGTCGTCAAGAATCGATCTTCACCGAGCGAGAAGAGATTCTTCTTGTGTAGCGTGTCGACGTTGCCTTCTGCGTATTCGTCGATGATGCGGTTGGAGATGATGATTGGTCGACCTTTGTCGGCGGTACGGATACGGTATAGGGAGAAACAGCCGGGTAAACATGTCACGGAACCGAATAAGGACTCGAATGCCTTTGCCAAGTGGTGAGAAATGTAATACTCGTAGACCTAAACAATGATCAATACAAATATCCTTGTACAATGGAGTCTGACTACTGACCTGAATCATCGTCCACCACGAGCCTTCTTCGTTATCAAGTTTCGTCTCACCACAAATACCAATAATGCTCGAATCGTCCGCAGCACAAGCGACCAGCCGGTTCAGAGAATCAGGAGTAACGGACTACAGGCGAAACACATCATCAGTACTGGCCTCATTGACCAAGATTGGAAGTCTTACCGTATCAGCATCAACAGTGAACAGATACTCATAGAAAGCCGGATCAATGCCAATAACATTGCGCATCTGATGATAAATCTCAAGCTCAAGCGGGTTCATCGGCGCGTCGAAATGCACACGGTTGAGGTAATGCATGACAAGAATCTGCGAGTCACGTTTTCCTCTATTACCAGGCTTGGACCTCTCAGTCGGCTTGCCAACTTTGACGACGACAATGTATCTGGAAAACAAAAAGTAAACAATCTCTTCTCCGCGATCATAAGACAGTGAAGTACGCACGGAACGACATGTCCCTCAAACTCATACAACCCAGAGTACACCTTCCCATAATTCAACTGTCTCGACCCCTCACCAACAGACTTGAACAACAAAGGCTCAGGATCAAGCTTCGGGTCCACACCAAGAAGGTCCAGCACAATTCGTGGAGTCGGACGATCATTCCCGCTACCAATGATATTCCCATCGCAAATGACGAAAATGAGCTTCCGCTTATCGTCATACTTGAGTGCTGCTAGCGAATCAATGGTACGCCGTAAAGAGTCTTCGCTTTCCGTATAACATGGTACTTGACATATGACGAACTTGTCTTGTAATTCGGGGTGGCGTTTAGATCCTAATTGCAGGGCGGCAAGAACTGTGTAAATCAGATATCAGTATCAATGAATATCGAATTCCTGGATATCGAGGAGACTTACACTTCGCAGCAATAGTAACAATCAAAATAATAGACGCCACGAGCAGCAAGATATTCTGCACCCTACAGCGCGCCGTTTTCCTGAAGTCACTCTGACCAACAAAGAACATATTCTGAATGCAGTCCATATTCGCATTCACAGTGTTCGTGTCCTTTGTAGCCAATACCTGGTCAAGCGACTTTGTAATATCGCCACCAGCACCCTCCTTGAACGCATCGACAATATCCTCATCCAAGAACTTGTACTGCGCCGCATTGTTGAACACTGTAAGTGTGTTCAAGTAGTCGGTCAAGTCATAGAGTTTGTCCTTGTAGAACGCCCATGTTCTATCAACACGAAAAAAAATCGTCTGTAAGTCTCACAATCCTATCAATGATTAAAGACAACGAAACGTACTTCGCCGTCTCATTCTGCGCCTGAGACTTAACCGTTCCCTTATCCCACACGACAGGGCCCTTATGGAATTGGTTAATCTTCGGTAGGAACGTCTGAGTATACCAATCATCATTCGACAAAGCTGATGTAGTCGACACCGCCAATGCACCAGACGTATGAATAGCAGTCGGCGATACTGGCGTGAAGTTCGCGTATTGCAGCGTCAACGTGCTGGCAGTAGCTCCAGTAACGACTCCAGAACAAGCCAACGCAAGTGGTGGCGGGAAGTAATTCGTCATATCCGCACCGCCCAACAACTCCAAGATCGACTGACTGTTACTAGGTGAACCAGTAATATCACTGTGATCATGTCCAACGAAATTCGTGACGTCGTACACCCTACCCTGAATCGCAACGAAGAAATCGTTCGTTCCAGAATGCTGTGACACTTCATCCAGGTTCCACGCCTTGTCGAAGTTCGGACAGAGTAACCTGCCAAAGATGATAATATAGAACAGAATAAGACCGCACGTAAAGGCAATGAGGATACAAATCGTGAGTTTCTCGCGCCATGCAAGTCGGACATCAGGTCGCTTCATCCGCCCAACATGCTTGAGAAGGAAGTCCGGAATCCACCACGTACACAGCATCACGATTATGAGCCAGAAACGACGCGAACGACTAGTCGGTACTTCCTCGATTGTGTTGGGTGCATTGTGTACAGTAAGTCCGCCAGCTTCTTTCGGTAAGTTTGGCTGTGGAGGGCTACGATCACCTCCGCCCTTCTTGTCCCACTCTGATCCCCATGCACTGCCGTCGTCGGGCTCAGTGTATGCTGGCGTTGCTTCTACAACAGGTGACTTCAACCCTCCAGCAGCGTACCTCGAAGTCGCTCCGTTGTTGGGATCCAGGTAATTCATACCACCCGATGCAGTTCGCGAGAGTAACAAGTTATCCGCACTCTCACTATAATAATCCGCAGCACCACTGAAAGGACTCGGGTCTTGCGTATGCTCAGTCGCAGCATCATCACCTACACTCTCATCTTCCAACACCCCACCCGCGCCCTGACTTGCCTTCTCCTGCTCCCGCACACCATCATCCACAAGCTTCCACGCATCATATGTCAACCATATACATCGGTGTCCCAAAACGTAATCCGTCCCTTCCTTCAACCCATTTTTCTGTACGCACTGCCGAATCCGGAGGGGAGTCTCACCCAACATTGTCGGAACATAACGATCGCAAAACTCTTCCTGCTCGAAGTCAACGACGTAATCCGCCCTCCGCCGTGAGATGAGGTCCGGCAACAAGAGAGAGCGGACTTGCGCCTTCACGCGCCGCTTGTCGAAGGAATTGGGTGAGCCAGAGTCATTTGGTCGGATGCATGACACCGTCCAGAGATGTGCACGGTCCAGTGCAAAGAAGAGTTCAGAAAGCGTATGGTTGAGCTGTGTCGTAATGGGATAAGTCTTCGATGGGTCGAGCTGGTTCGGCTCGTCCTGTTGCGACGTGCTGCTGCCTGTGATAGCAGTCGGGTGACGAAGAGGTCGTGAAGAGACTTGAGCTTGAACGACAATGGATGAATCCTGGTGATGAGTCTCCGTAGCCAGACTCGGGCCAGACACGAGCTTCGACACGAACGAGTCCGTCGAGTTTCGGAGTAGAGTAACGAATCCAGCGTCCAGCAGGTCTGTATCCTTCTCAATGAAATGCGTCACGTCATACGAGCATGGGCCGGCATAATGGTTGATACCGAACAGGTTACTGTCGGCTGAGCCGCCAAGTGCAGGACTAGCTACGTACGAAGCATGCACACCGAATTTCGTCATCATGTCCTGTAGCATATCCTCATCACGCCGATCACCACCCTTGCCCTGCTTATACGAGCTGCACGCCTTGTTCATGATACCAAGCATGCCTCCAGGCTTACGGTGCGCTCGCTCACTCAGCTGCGCACCACGTAGCAGCTCAACACATGCAGAGTTATCCATCGTCTCAATCGGCGGTAACGTAATGCCATCTCCGGTGAGGTGCGCATTATACCCGACCGCGTCCTCGAACGTATTCCGAACAATGTACGAGTGAACAAGCTCATCCGCGAAGTTGATGCAGAACTCCTCAAAGCCGTTCTGACCGTACGCAGCAATGAGCGGTGCATTAGCAGTGAGAGCAATCGAGTTCGTCCCAGATGGCGAACGGGACTGGAAGCCCGCCTGGTCAAGTAGAACGATCTGCGTAGGTGGCGCAGGGTCTGCTGGATTTGGAGCAAGTTTGTGATTCGCGGTTTCCACGACGAATGCGAACAAGATCGAGTACAAGTCTCGCACGAGTTGGTCGCGCTGCATGGCGCTCTGTTCGGGACTCAAAAGAACGGTGTATAGCTCCTTACGGACATAGCTCGTTCGATTCGTGAGAGCCTGAGCAAGGTCCTCGGACGTTACGCCCAAAAGCCTTGCAGCCTGGTCAAGCACAAGCGTATTTACCACATGAGCTGTGTCCTCACGAGAAACACCTTCGACGAACTCGAGGTTACCGAGCAACAGGATGGCGATCAGTAAGTTGAAGATGGCGGTCACATGCTTCGTTTTGAACCCGAGCGTACGCATGGCAGCTCGTAGCTCAGTCATTGCTGTCGCGTCATCACTGAACGGGCCGCCAGGTAAACGATAGCACCCAGACGAAGCAAGAAGCGCATAGTCCGACGGGTCTTCCATGTTCAATCTGTCGCGCTCCTCCGTCGTTGATCCAGCAAGAAGCTGGTAGAAGACATGGTACGTGCGTTCCTCATGTGTGAGTCGCGTCAATCGCGTTTTGTCTAGTCCGTACGTGAGCACCTTGGCGGAACCAATACGCCTGTGCTCATTGAAGTGTAATTCTAGGTAGCGACCGTGCCGTGAGGCATTCGGGTTAAGGAGTGTCTTTGCATTTCCAAACGAGTCTAACAGAGTTGAGAGTGATTTAAGCTGTTCCGCGACCTTTTGTTCCTTCTTTGAGCGGGCAGAGAGCCGTAAGATTTGGTTAACAAGTAATTTCGAGCTCTCCGTTTTTCCGGATCCCGTGATTCCCCTGGTAACAACACAAAACGAAACGGAAGTTTAAATAAATTGCACGAAGAGCGGGAAGAAAAGAGCTGCGGCGAGACGCACCTGAAGACAACGGCCTGAGATTGTTTTCGTTGCCGCATGAGAAGATAGACTTTTGCGGCGAGACCATAGAGGTGCGGCTGGGGCGCTTTTGGCGAACCTGCCGTGGGTACGCTTGTGTCCTTGAAACATCGTTCCTCATAGTCCTTGGCACTTGCTTCATTCAAGTTTGCAAGTGTCTTTAAAGGGTTGACGACGACGAGGTTGGATGCGCCAATGTGGGAGTAAGGGAGGTCTGCACGGAAGCGGGTTTGGAGGACGTTGAGGACAGCATCGTCATTAGGGTAGATTGTTGTTGAGCCCGTCGAGGAGATGAGGTCTGTGAGGTCGCCCGAGCTGACTGCCGGGGACGACGACATGGACGCCATGTACGAGGAGAAAGAGAGGAGAAAAAGGAAGGGAAAGGTGACGAGGACGACAAGTGCTGACCTGTGGATGTGAGGAGGGAAAGGAGTATCGTCGCCGAGTGCGAGACTCGCAACACTTGCTAAATTAGGAAGGTGTCCGTCACGGCCTAAATCCAGATCATCCCCTTCATCTGGCGTTCTTGCCCCATTTCACTTATGATTCCGCTCTGATGTGCAGTAAATTTATCGTCGCCTTGTGTCATCTGCATGCTGTTTTCTTGTCTTCGCCGTTGAAGACCTATGAGACTGTCACACAACAAGCAGCAAAAGAACTGGCATTGAAGACGGGACCAGACGGGACCAGACGGGAAAGGAAGATCGGAAAATAATTGCATCTGCCATCATGGGCTGTGACATGGGAATGAATTCAATTACTCCCCAGCCAACAAACGTGCAGCACGCATCAAAGAAACGCCGCATCACACAAATCCTACCGGCACAGCCTGCGTCTCGACCTTCGGGATTCCAATTCCCGTTTCTCACAACATTCATCCAGCCCGCTTCTGTGCCAGTGTGCCTACGTTTTGCACTGCAACGGACATCCATTGATCCAACAGACAGTTGCTCTTTCCTGTTGACGGGTCTGAAACAGTCCTTCTCGCTGGTTGTAGTACTGTACAACTGCCGTGTATTTTTGTCTGGTAATTTGCGTGTGACGGATACATTCAGCGAACCCCTTTTGTATTCCAGCTTCTTCTGTTTCATGGAATTTCTAAGAAAAGTGGAGAGAGAACTTAATTCAAAAGGTGGCACACGGATTTGCTGGCTCCCAACGACGCCCAGTCCTGATGCACATGTATCATAATCTGCGTACTGTAGACAGTAGTAACCTGCAATGCAAACGAAAAGGGATGTGGCCACGTCGAACAAATATACGAAGATGGATTTATCCATGGGAAGAAGGGATAAAAATAGACTGTTTACTTACGACAGCGCCGATCATCGTATTCTCACAGGATCGACGCGCATCTCCCAGATAAGGTTCCGTGTCAAGTGTACAAGTGTACACTTCGTCCAATATAATTGTCTGCTTACAACCTTATACACAGTCTTCCATGATATACCTCTAACACCTAACACCTATCATTCTGCGAAGACAAACATCCCACCATCATAATGTCCGCAAAACATCAAAGAAGAAATCGAGTATGCTCGGAAGATGTCGTCCCTGGCAAGAGCGTTTCTTATCTCGCCCGACCTGCTTATCTCCTGAGCGCCGCGATCCGGATAACATATACACCCAGCATGAGCAAGCAAAAATGCCGTCTCTGCTCTCTTGAAGTCTGACACTGACCAGCATCATGTCCTCTGAGCACTCTATCACAAAGGAACAGCCGAGCGCAACGCCTGTGCCCACAGTACCAACTGGCAATACAGATGTCAATCTTCCTCCTCGCAGTGAAATGAGTGTCCGCAACCGCGCCCAACGCCTCAAACACAAACTCACAACACGCGAAGGATGGTTCGGTGATTACGACTACCTCTGGCTTTGTACACCTTCTCTTCCCCTTTCACCCTCCAAACAATCCAATCATCGTCGTCAACGGCGACTTCCACCATTTTACGCTCTCGACGCAGACATCCCTCTCCTCCTAGCTACTGCATGTGGATTACAACATGCACTCGCTATGCTTGCAGGCTTGATCACTCCTCCGATCATTTTTGCTACTACGTTGAATTTGGATACGGAGACTCAGTCGTATATGGTGTCTGCTTCGTTAATTGGGTGTGGTAAGTCGTATACTCGAGATTTGTGTCTAATAACTATTTTGTTCATTCTTGGTGTGCAGGTATTCTGAGCTTGGTGCAAATGTCGAGACTGCGTTTGTACAAAGGATATTATCTCGGTTCTGGCTTGCTATCCGTTGTTGGGACAAGTTTCGCTACACTAAGTACTGCGAATGCAGTAAGTATCATCTCATCCATGTTAAACTGCACAGTTAATTTTACGCTCAGATTTTCGATGCGCTCTACAACAACGGAACCTGTACAAGTACAACAGCAGCAGACGGTACAATAACACGAGATCCCTGTCCAGACGCATACGGGATGCTCCTCGGTTTGTCTTCCTCAATTTCTTCAAACTCCTCGCTTACATATGATGAAGGAACCTCACTCATCTGCTCCTTCCTCGAAATGCTCTTATCACTCGTCCCCGTCCGAATCCTCCAACGCATCTTCCCACCAATGGTAACAGGAACCGTCATCCTCCTCATCGGAGCCTCTCTCGTTGGGTCTTCAGGTATTCCCAATTGGGGTGGAGGGTCGAATGATTGTATGTCTCGACCTAGTAGTGGGTTTTTTCAGCTGTGTCCAAATGTAGGGGCTCCGAGGGCTCTTCTGTGCGTCTCTTTTCTCGATTAACCCTAATTTAAAAACTTTGTTGAGTGAGAGTGGAAGCTGATGTAAATTTGTTTGTGAGGATAGATGGGGCTCACCAGAATTCATCGGCCTAGGCTTCCTCTCCTTCATAAGCATAATCCTCACAGAACTTTTCGGCTCACCATTCCTCAAGAACATATCTATCATCGTCGGCCTCGCAATGGGTTGTATCGTCGCAGGTGCCACAGGGTATGTTGATGGGAGTAGCATAAAAAGTGCTCCTGCTATTACTTTCCTTTGGTGAGTTCACTCTTTTGTTTGGAGATTCGAGCCCTGATTTATATCTGTAAATTCTTGGTTTTACTTCAGGGTAAAGACATTCAAGATCCGAGTATACCCACCTGCTATCTTACCGATGTTAGCCGTATACAGTACGTTCCTCACATCACTCTTGCCTTTCGAGAATCGAACTCTGAAGCCTGATTCGTTATTTGTTTTTTGTTATTTGTAGTCTCACTAGCGATGGAAGCTATCGGAGACATAACAGCTTCAGCTGAAGTCTCTCGTGTCGAAGTCGACGGACCAGTATTCGATTCACGTATTCAGGGTGGAGTACTTGTACGTCTCATCTTTCCCTTCAACCTTCTATTCTTCTCCACATTTGAGCTGAGTTAATGTGCAATATTAAATAGTCAGATGGAATTGGTGGATTCATATCTGCCCTGTTCACAGTTGCGCCTTTATCAGTCTTTGCCCAGAACAATGGTGTCATCGCTATCACACGCTGCGCGAACCGCACTGCAGGCCGTTTCTGCTGCGTCTTCCTCATCCTCTTCGGCGTACTAGGAAAAATCTCAGGTGTCTTCCTCGCAAGTACGTCTCTGCTCCCTCTCGCTTTCTCACATCCACCCTTCCTTCTCTCCTCATTTATCCATTCGCTAACCCTCTCCCTTAATGAACGAAAGTACCAAACCCAGTCCTAGGCGGCGTAACAACCTTCCTCTTCGCAACAGTCTCCGCATCCGGCATCCGCGTCCTCTCCTACCTCACCTGGACCCGTCGCACCCGCTTCATCCTCGCCTCCTCCCTTTCTTTCGGTCTCGCGGACTTACTCGTCCCAAGTATCTTCCAACATCTTTTCGATTCTGTGCCGAGTGAAAGCGTGGGGAAAGGGTTGCAGGGGTTGTTTGATTCTATCACAATTATCTTGAGTACACCTTGTGAGTCCTCAGTTTCATCCATTTTAAGATATAGTTTTAATGATTCTGTCGTAGTCCTTATAGCAGGCATCGTAGCGGTCGTCCTAAACCTCATCCTCCCAGACGAGTCACTCGATGAGGATGGGCATGAAGCAGCTCAAATTCCAGAATTAGATGCGGATATAGAGCAGCAAGTCGACCACGATCACAACGTAGAGACGGAAGACGGGAAACATACAGTGTAGTGTATATATACGTCATATTTACATTTCTTGGGTTTTATCAGATAAAGAGTGTACTATCTCTTTATTTAATACACACTACAGATACTTTGCCGTTCTGAATGGTCTTAGTTTCCTCTCTGCTCAAGACTCGAATACTTACAGGAATTTTATTAAAGCTTTGACAGTCGAGCCAACAAAATTCAAGGCATAAACAGGACTCTTATTCGCATGTCATATGAAAGAGGAAAGAAAAGCAGAAAAGAGAAGACAAGAAAAAGCAGTAAGATGAAGAAAGGGATAAAAAGAGGAAAGAGGGTAAAAATAATAAATTGCATATACCTACCTACTAGAGATCATCACTTCTCGTCATGACGACGAATGCAGCACTGAAGGTAATAAAAGGCAAGAAGATCATGGTATGCACAAGAAATGGATGGTGAACAACAGATCGTGAGTAGACTGAGAGAAGAGAGGACGAAGATACGCTGGCAATACTGACTCAGGGTATACACCAATGACAAGTAATAATAACATGGTAAGATGAACCATCCCGTTGAGAAGCAGCCATGCTCCAAAACTACCACAACACACTGCACAACATTTCACCTCATACGTCACCTCACTTCTTCGACTTCGCGTTCCCACCCGCCGCAGCACAGATTGCACCTCGGAACGCCTCGACGTCAAACGCGAAATTCGGATCTCCAACACCCTGGAAACGTTGCAACAGCCCTTCCAGATCCATTCCCTCTGTAGCTGAAGAAGGATGAGGGTATCGTCCTGCGTTCGAAGTAGCCGTCAACGACATCTTCTGTCCCTGTCCTTGTCCCGTGTTCGAATTCGTATTTGCATGGGAGTAGTTCGTCGAGAAGGACCCACAACGCATCGGCGTCCCAAGCTTACGACGAAGTGACATCGACTCTGCGTCACCTTCCGTATCAGATTCCACATTCCAATGCGTCGTTGCCGAAGGCCGCACGCCAACCGATTTCGCTGATAAACTCGCAGTCGTTGAAGAGAATGATGACAAGGAGGAGCTCGGAAGTACGGATCTGAGTGTCCCTGATAGCCATTTGTGTACGAGGGGATGGTCAACAGTCGGATTGTATTCGCAATCGTGGAATAGCTCGAGTAAGTTGGCGAATGACCTCGTGAGATTGAACAACGGTAGGGCTGTATCGAGGGTTAGAGAAAGGTTATGATACATAAGACGATCAGCACATCAAATCATAGCAAACCACAACATACCTTTTTCAAGGACATCATACGCCTGCCGGGGCGTCAAGCCCTTGTAACGCATCAAATACGCACAAACAACCGCACACGCGCGATTCTCCGTCGTACAATGAATCAAAACATGCTTGCGTTGAATAAACTTTTTATCTTCTATGTTCAAGTTCAAGTCCACGTCAGACTCAGAACTACTACTGGTATCTGCATCGTTCAAAGAGCGGTTGATAAAAGACGCTGCCTCGTCGAGATGGAACAACAGACTACTTGAGTCTGAGTCCGGGATAGCTAGATGGTGATGTTCCACGCCTGCCAATTCCAGATAACTAGGATCGCTGGAAGTATCGTCCTCAGAGTCTGATTCCGAGGAAGATGCTTCCGTTCTAAGCTTTGAGGGAGGAAGTACAGATGGGAGAGAGAGAACAGAGGTAGCAGCAGTTGAAGGTCCCGAGATTAGTGGTGAGAACCGGCTTGAGAATGATGATGAGCGTGAAGACAGAGGGCTGGAAACAGTCGAATCAGGTGATAATCCCGAGCTCCAAGCCGAGCTCAAGATGGGACTTGGCCCAGATGGTCTTCTACTAGATGTTGTAGAAGAAGGTGCAGATGACAAGGAAGGCAATGATGCAGGAGAGATCGACAAGAAATGGGTAGCGCCTACTTCACTGAGTAGCGAAGAGGCTTCTAAGGGGTCCGTAGGAAAATCACTTGGAATTAGAAGGGGTCAGAGGTTGCATCCTGAAAATATGAGGAGAGCAAGGAGAAGAGGACTGAGGACGCACTCTGCGATTGCTAGTTGTGGTTCGTCCTCATTGTCTAGCTTAATCTCGATAGCGTCCTCGATTCTAGATAGGTATCTGCATACTTCGCGCCTCTTCTTGCGCTGCCAGGCTGTGAAAGCCGGATGAGTTTGAACAGGCGCAGGGTAATTTTTGAAATAGCCGCATTCGCCAAATATTTGAAGCTGTCGACGAAAACCGTAATTTGGATGCACGCGTGGTCGACCTGAAGATTGCATCAAGCCGTCAATGATTATCTTCTTAGCAAAGAAAGCTATTAATATACTCACGCTTCCGAATAAACATTAACGCGGCCGGGAAAGATAACTGGCGCGTCGCCATTACTTGCAGTCAGCCCCTAGTCAGTACTCGCAAGTCATCACAGTAATTGAACACTCACAGTACGCGCAGACTACTGTCGTCGAACGCGATATACCCATGACGCAGTGGACAAGGACTTTGTGCTTCTGCGCAGAACGCGTACACGAGTTGTGCGCCCTTAGTTCGGCTACCTGTTTAATGTTCCTCTTCTCGGCACTAGTCTGCTGACCGTCATCATCCCCAGGAATGGTTTGGCGTGGTTCAAGGGCATCTCTAATGAAAGCGACTGCAGCTGGGAGGTGGGTAAGGATATCCTCAAATTCCGAGTCCTCAATTGAAATACAACGGTGTGTTGGGTGCTGAGCGGACGGCCGGGATGCAATGGCTGAAATTGTTGCGCCCTTGCGAGCCTCCTCGGCCTCTGGATATTCTGGACAGACGGAAAGAATGTGCGTGATGCCTAGTTCTGGGTATTCATGAAGGGACTTTGCGGCTGCCAAGCTTTAGCGCGATAAAGACGCGAACCGCGTCAGCCAATATGTTCGGTACACTTTGGACAAAGGAACATGCAACTTACTTTCCAATGTAGAGGTCATCAAGGATTAAAGAGAGGTCAGGAGTATCCGTCGACATGTCCGTGTCTGCTGCCGACGAGGAGAGGGAAGAGAGAGAGAGAGAGAGGAAGGAAAAAGAAGGATGGCCTTGTCTTTTTGAATTCCGATGCATCAAGCACGAGACGGATGTAGGCGGCCTACTAAACAAGGATCCACTTTCCATAAGGAGGTTATCTCTTATCTATATCAGGCCACTGCTTTCCCGCGCCATCGCTTCTTATTCGCCGTCGTCATCATTCTGAACATGCTTCAAAGGTGGGGCTGCCTGAACGGTATCTCTCACAGGATAATTCTACCCATACATCTGCTTTAGTCAATTCTTGATGACTTCCATCTCGGCGGAAACCTGTCAAAACAGGCAGAATTTTGCTTTATTTACTGACTACCGCACTTACCGGACCCTTAATATTCATTCATCGTTGCTTCCCAACTCCTATTTGACCACCCTCGTTGCCCTTCTTTACTGCATATGGAAGCATGTGGAGCTTTAGAAATCAAGGGGGTGTGAGCCCACTTCATGCCGAACTAGATGCATATACAAACCAATAGCAACGTGTTTGACGCCCTCCTCTTGTGACTCGTCAAGTGCCACGTTTGAGTAACCCTCCATGTTGACATCTGCACAGTAGTTTATCATGTGCCTTTCGTTAATGCGGTATGTTTCTCAGGAGCGCGTGAGGATCCCTACGTTTTATCCGCAAGTTATTCTGCAATAGAGATTCCGGGAAAGTGGCAATGTTTTTCAGGAGTGCGTGAGGATCACTCGGTTTTTATCCGCAAGGTATTCTGCAATAGAGAATCAGGTAAAAATGGTGCTGCTTCTTATGTCCTTAGGAGCACATGAGGATCACCTAGCTTTACCCGCAAGATATTCTGCAATAGAAATTCCGGCAAAAGTTTAACTTCGATAACAAGTACAGTCAAACGTCTGCAAAAACCTAAACAACTGCCTGTGAAACACGATTTTACTCTATTAAAGACAAACTAATGAGAAGTCGTTTGTGTTCAGACTCTATCTGCGACGTCTCTCTCATTGCATCAAACTGCTCTTGTTCCACTGATTCGCCATGTAGCTAGCCTACAGCAGCAACTCATTTCCTTTCTGTCACCCGCAACCAGAAGAAGTTTCACTCCTAGTAGAAGCTTGACGTCAGCGAGAGGGTAGCAAGGTTCAAGGAAGGTAGACCAAATACCTATTTGTATATATATTAACTCCAATACATACTTTGAAACATTGTTTGTAGCTGCTGTTCCAGAGTGGGTACGTAAATGTCAGCATATAGTCAGGTACCAGGTAGCTAAACAAAGCATAATACTATCTATATCTGTAAGTTAGCATAATACTGACTTGAGAATAATATCAGTCCATTTCGGTTGATGCGACATTTTTAAAATAAGTATTATCACAACTTGATTCCGGACGCCAGCTGTTCTATTTTACACACGCAAACACTTGAAGGCGAATGACAAAATTCGAGGGCCATCATTCTCTTCATCTTATGAACTTCTCTCAGGCTTCACCCCACCAGCATGCTTGTCCTGAGGTCCCTCCTCACCCTTTGGAGCATTCCTAAGCGCATCTCTCTTCGTCGCACCATATCTCAGCTTCTGCTCTTTCTGCTCCCCCTTCTCCTGCCCATTCATCTCCACGGGAGCCTCATACGGTTCGTCCTTGCTAACAGTAGCATATTCCTTCTTCGGGTCTGCATATTGTTCGTGTGGCCTATGCGTTGCAGGCCGAAACTCTCCCTCGTCGTCGCCACTCGACGAAGACGCAGCATCTGCTGATCCATCGACCACAAAGGTTTTATTCGACGGAGGAGGACTTTGATCCACGTCTTTGAAATACGAGTCCGCCGTATGTTTCGCCTCTCCCTCTTTGCCTTTCGTATCCGCACTCCAAACAGCACTCGTATGCAACCCCCTCTTTCCCTTCCCCTTCGCTTTCCCTTTCGCAAGTTTCTCTTCCTCTTTCTTCACCTTCTTCCCAGAAACCTTATGCGAAGGCAACGCCGGCCTCTCCGGATCAGCGTTTCCCTTCCCTACATCTCGTCCTTCTAAACCACCTTGACTCGTCACCGCATGTTTCAAGTGTGGGTTCTGATCGAGTAGTGTATCTTCCTTCGGATCGCGCGACGCAGGTGGTGCTTGGCCTTTTGGCTTTTCAGCGCGGTATGCAACTGCGGTTGCGTGTAATGCTGCTAATGCACGAGATTGAGGGTAAGGGTAAAGATGGCTTCGATGAAGAGATGGAAGTAGACGAGTTGGCTTTGTTAAGTGTGAAGATGAGAGTATACGGGTGTACATTTTGGCAGACGACGATGCAGGTGAGGCAGTCACTAGGTAAGGGGTCGAGTGTGAGTGCGACCGTTGAATACATGCGCTGTGAGAGTGACATCATCACATGCCGGATGTGGGGCGCGGATCACGCAGATCATTTCGGTTACTCATCAACAATGTACTGGATACTGTCACCGTTCACCGTGTTTGTAATAAAACTTGTCTCTCACTTCATTTTCTCATTCTTATTTCTAGAACATTTCATGAACAGTTATACTGTTTTACATGCCGTTGTACCCTTCATATGGGAAAGTAGGAGCAGCAAAGTTGCACGAAGAAAACTCCACTCGTACTGATATGCTCCATTGGTAACTATGAGTGCTGAGCAAAGGCAGGTAAATTGGTCTCAGACACGAAGGGAGTGGGGTGCACCTCTCGGTTAATGATGTTGCAGATGCTGATTGCTCAGTGGTACACGTAGTAAGATACAACATGAACAGAAACAAGAACTAAACTCTGGTGAGACCATGTATGCCAGCAAAAGAATAAGAACTGAAGAGCAGGAACAGTGTCAAGGTGGATGGTAGTCATCAGAAAAAGTATGAAAGAAATTAACAAGCGGGAAGAACGACGCCCAAACCAGTAGTGGACAGAGTATAGTGCGTACGGTGAACGTTAATGCCACAGAGCAATGTGGATGTGGGGTAAATGCGATACTACCTTAAATCGTTAAACTGGTCGTATTTTGCAACGCATCGAATCGACACTGACTAGTATCAATTGATTCACTCATCAGTGGCGCGGAGACGTGGCGCCATCATGGGACGGCTCGCCGAATTCAGACCAACTTTCATCGCTGAAGCCGCCACTGGACCCGCTTCCAGCCGAACCATCATCGCTCAAGGAATCATCAAAATGAGAGTCTCCGCGATGTTCGGCGGTGTTTCCGACCACGAATGTTAGCCCGTCTCGGCCATCATCCTCAGGAGCGGCAAATACAGGTAAAGATTCGGAGGACGAAACGTGCGACGGAAGAGAGTACATATCCTCTTCTCCCGAGAGCGCGAAGGTTTCGGAGAACGGTGAAGTTAGTGCGCTAGGTGGGAAAGAGCGGAATTCTGTAGAAGGAGATTGCGCGGTCATGAATGACGCGGATGTATCGGTAACCGTCCTCGACATTGCTGAAGCATGTACATCCGAATGTGGGTCCAGCAAAAGTGTCTGGGATTGCTGAAGTTCGCTTGCAGGTGCACTATGCCCGCTGTGTGATGAGACAGACTCGACAGCAGACCACTCGAGTAAGTCGGGATGCGTCTCTGGTGATCCTGGGCGAGGTACTGCATTATCCTCCGAAACAGACTCGGAAGGAGTAGGCAATTGAATACGCGGTGGCGAAATTATGCGCGGGGATGATGCTCGGGATGAACCCAAAGAAAGGTCATCGATCCTCGGGGAAGTTGATGGAAGCGTTGCCGATTCCGAGCCCAGCTCAAACGGCGAACGCGAAGGTGATGGTGAGAGCGTCGACGAGCGTGACGACTGTGGGTCTGTCCAAGGGTTTCGCTCAGGCGCGAGTGGTGTATAAGGAATATTGTCTCCAGAGGGCTGCATGCATCAATGTCAGCGTAAATGTAAAATTCCAAGGAAACAAATAAGCGCACAGCATCCATGGGCCCGGGCGCTTGTACCGTCGAACCTTCGACATTTGACACACCGGCGTTGCTGCGTCTGAGTCGAAGTCCACTACTTAAGGGTACATTTATGCTATCTCCTCTGCTCCCGGACAGGCCCATGTCTTGCATCTCATGTGTCGATGCCCTGCTGCGTACTGGACTTGCCTCGTGTGTGAAATGTGGAGGTGCAGGTTGTCGGCGACGTCGCCGTTCTTCATTGCGAGCCCTGCGCTCCTCACGCCACTGCGTAAATTGAGGCGTAACGTACGGATCAAATACAAGCTACATAAATTACAGCGTAAGTGAGACGATACGGGCTCAAACGACACGCCATCCGAAGTGGTGTGCACATACCTCCTTCAATGCGAAACCAACGGCGACAGCGCCAACAACTGCCACCACGACGACGTACACAGTTGGTCCTGGCATTATTCTAAATATGCGCTTGTGTCTATACCAACGCTAAATTGCCTGCTTGCTATGTTGCCCGCAGCGCAAGTGATGGTGGTATGTGCCCGAGCAGTATGCGTGTTGCTGTGCACTACGGCAATGGCAATGGCACTTCCATAAGCCGAGTCATTACGTAAACAATTTAGACTTTCTTTCTAAGTCCATGGCATAAGAGACCAACCTCTTATCATCTCTACTATTTTGCATCATATACCAAATGAGTTGTCGAAAACATGGGATGATAGCATATTATACCCATTCGTCAAGTTCCTGCAAGCCGATTTATCCTTAGTCCAATAGCATTCAATTCACTGCTCGTGGCGTACATCATTCTGGCGATCAAGCCCGCAATGTAATATCGGTCGAGCAAAGCTGTTATCGCTCCAATCAGTATGTAATGCCTCGATTCTGTGGCATATTGCCTCTTTACGTACATATCAAAGTGGCCGAAGAGAACTAAGGAGTAACTCTCACAGCGATACATATTACACGTAACAATCTACAGGCAGCCAGCCAGCAGTCCCACAACGACTGGACACATTTAGGATTATTCGCAAGCATGGCTGACAACAATGATAGAGACAGAAAGAACATTATGCAAGGAGATAAATTTGGCATCCTAAGGCGCTTAGGATCATTAATTTGGAAGCCTAAATACGACATAGGTAGTGCTGTAGAGCTGAGAAAGGAGGATTTCGGCACTGTTTATGTATGATATTCCAGTTCGCCATACGTGGACATGATGCTGACACTTAATTAATGGACCTCTAGCTTGTCAGACGTAAAGGCACATCAGAGGTGGTAGAACTCAGGCAAATAATGAAGGTCCCAACCGACACGAATACGCAATCGGATAAAGAACAAGACAAACATCAGACACCGGGAGAAATTGACGATAATAAAGGAGACAATACTACAAGTGGGACTGATGGGAAACCCAAGCACGTTCTCTCCAGAAGACTTCGCAGACCTGTGGATAAGCATGATGCAAACATACAAAATGAGGTTGATATACTCAAGATGTGTAATTCTTCTAAAGACTCAAACAAGTCATACATTGTAAGCAGAACACCAGCATTATACGACCTGATTACATTCCCTTACGTTTGTCTCGTTTCAGATTAAGTTTCATGAATCCTTCGAGTCAGATCGACATTTCTACATCGTAACTGAACACCTTGACCGGAAACCAGTACTCGACGAATTAATGAAACGAAGTACATTATACGAGAAAGACGTAATTGCCGCCGCGAAGTAAGTTTTCGATTATGCTGACCATTTGAGAGTCATCATTTTGACCACTCGAATGGCTAGGGACATGCTTCATGCTTTGAAATTTGTGCATGAACTAGGTATTATCCAGAGACACGTTACGTGAGCTGCCGCCGTGAGATTTACAAGTATTTCTATTAACACTATCACGAACCCAGGCCAGAAGCGTTCAGGTATCGAAAAGAGGATGATGGGTCGGAAGTAAGGCTCCGACTCGTCCTAGTGGACTTCAAATAGTCTGTGTCATTCCGTTTAGAATTCGTGTGGCTAAACGCTAAAGGTCAAATTGCAGTGCTCAATATAAGGATAGTCCCAAAGACTTACCTACACCACCTTGTAACAGATACAGTGATCCTAAGATCGTCAGGGCCTGGATCCAGGGTAAAAAGAAGAAAAAGGCAAGAGATATCGCGGGCATCGAAGTTGATGGTAAGATGGATGTCTGGGGGGTTGGGTAAGCTAGATTCCGCGATCTTTCGGATTGCGAACTGGACTGATGGTACCACCCTGGATTTAAGTGTAATAGTGCATGTACTTCTGACGGGTCATTACCCATATGTTGATCATGTGAAGAAACCGAAAGACGAAGGGAAGAGTAGCACCACCGACTCCGCCACGAAGAAGCCTAAAACTTATTATCACGAAAACGGCGAGGCTATAAACATCGACAAGACATACCTAGTAAATGTGGTAGACAAACAAGTCCAGTTTCTATCAGAACACGAATACTGGAGAGGTGTTTCTCCTAAAGGTATGAATAATTGTGTATTCATACAATTGAGATGTTACGGAACGAATATCTTTTATAGCAAAAGATTTTCTGCACTGCGTACACGACAAGGGTGAAAGTGGTGCAGATAGTAGTGGTTTGCTCCACAGAAAAAAGCTGTTAAGGACGTCGATAGTTAATGCTCTTAACCATTCGGTCTGTCTGGCCTTAGAGAGATGACCCAATGCATTCTATGTACTGACACTGTTTCCGTGTAGTGGCTTACGGATTTCAAACCTAGCGATATAGACTTGCCAGGTTTACGGATGCAAGCTGGGAGGATAAAGAGGAAAAGTGAGGAGAGAAGGTACCGCAGACCTTTTAGGGTGGGAGAAGGGCCGGAGCGCAAAGATGGGAACCAAGAGCAGCATGACATGGAAATACAGCGAACATCTTCGCACGGTCACCAGCATGACTCTTCGCGACGCAATAGCGACTTTTCGTTCAAGCAATATTCTAAGGGTGGTTCAGAGGAACTCGAATTACAAATGACAACACCCTTGGATTCGCCGTCATCGACGGCACCTGGATCTCAAAAACGGCGAGAAAAAAGACGCGATAAGCATGACGAAATTGCAAAGAAGCAACCAGAGAAGAAGAAGAAGGATGATGAGCAAAAGTTGACGCTCCCGTATGGAAATGAAAGGCGGAGACGGGACCTTGATGAGAGTGGCTCAGGTGACCGTGGTGACCGTGGCGGGGGCTATGCGCCAATGTGATTTAGCAGTCTACCGAGCTATGGATGTTGCATAGGCATGGAAAAGCCAATTCTGTGCTAGACGTGATTCTAGTGCATGAGCGGAAGCATGGTCTGAGACCTTGTCGTACCTGCTGGATGTCTGGCTGCTAGGAGGCTCTTGTTACATAGAGATTCATCATCATGTAGACATTTTGCTTTGTTTTGTTTTATTTGAAATTTCTTGTAATTGATCACGTGACGACAACGCGTGGTTTGGCGTTGTTTATTTTCACAACAGAAAGCGACGATCTCTTGGTCCCGTCGTCCCCGTCGCCAGCGAGCGGCTGTCCACCATGGCCTCTGATGCCTCCCACCTCATATTAGACGATATAATCATGCCACTAGATCCTCAGCTCGATGCACGGCAACCTATCGAGATCGGTGATGCACATGTACTGGACCGACATTCGCTCTCTCGCAGCAACTCGCCTGGTCCGCCTGATGAACATGAGGTCCTTGCTATGCGCGCCCGTGCGCTCTCAATCCGTAATGAAAAAACAGCAGAGAATGGAAAGGGCGGAAAAGATGAATTTCAAGATGAGCTTGTAGACATGGTTCTCTGTCTCTCTGCCGGCGTGCCTTCCAGAGCTCAGGTTCATGAACAAGCGAATACTATCCGACGATTATCTTTACAGCAAGAAACCTTGCTGAAGCGTATGAATGATGAGTGCGAGAGCTGGGAGGCGGAAAGACACGGTATGCGGAGAGTATGCGAGGCGCTTATCGCTCAAGCGAATATTGCTTCTCATAATTTGTACAAGGAGCAGGTCAGTCTCTCAGTATTCCAATAAGCAGAGTAAGCTAAGCTGGAGTTGTAATGTTAGGAAAATTCCAAGAAGCCTACGATAATTGAGTCTGAGAATGCCTCCCTCCGACAAAAGGTATTCCGTTGTTCTGGATCTATGCATGCACAGAGTCTCATGTAATACATAGCTTGCTGATGCCCAAAGTAGAGTATCGTCTCTCGAAGTGGAACTAGCGCAACTTCGTCCACTGCTTCTCATGCAGCCTAGCGCAATAGCACAATCTAAAGGTATTACTGTACAAACTGGTAAGCTCCGCAAGAAGGAAAGCCTCGGGCTTGAGGAGAACAGAAGCTACTACAGAGTGCGGGAGGAGAAGACTCCTGGTTCTAAGCCACGTAAGAAGAAGGCAGCGGCTTATTTCAAACATGCCCCTACGATTGCCGACGCGCGCTCTGAACATTTGCTACTTGCAGCGCGCAAGCTTGGAAAAGAACGAGCAACAATGGTTAGCCAGACTATGTACCGACCGCCCGAACCGCAACGGCCATCTACTTCGCCCAACCACGACTTAACGCTACACATTCAAGGCCGTGCGAACGAAGTTAAACCGATGGTAGCATCCGCCGTCTGGTCTGCTGCACAACACGTCCCACAGCCAGGAATTCAACGACCTGGGCATCAACAAGGGCAACAGCCTGGGAGCTCAAAAACACCTCAGAATTCACCTTTTTCTCACTTTGGATCTCCAGGTGTGACGTATCCTCAACAATATTTCGTATCTGGACCCGTAGGCAGGCCAGGGACATCAATGCCTGCACCCACGTTCTATCCCGCTCCTCCGCGCGGATACATACCTGGTCCAGCGTGGCCGTACTACCATCCTGGTCCATACAGATTCGGTCAGCCTATCGCGATCCAGAATGCAAGTCCAAGTCAGAGTGCCAAAACTACGCCGGCACAACCTTCTAATAGCCCACCAGTTGCTGGCCCTTCTCGTACGCCCGCGCCACCCTCTACACAAACCGCCCCTGGTCCGGGTCCGTCTTCGCAAGATACAACTAAGGATGATAAGCCTTCAAATCAGATAAAAGATTCATCCAACGAGGAATCGTTGGAGAGAGCTCAAAAGACGCCTCGGTCAAAATCGACCGCACAATCTTCTGCATCGAGAAACCCTCCAACGCCTATGGACAGTTTACTTTCTGCAGCTCGCTCTGTATTCTCTCCTGAATCAAGTGGTGGGAGTCATGTAGATGACGATGGCAGCCCGTCACCGAAGAAACGTCGACGGGTCGCTCAACAATCTAGATCGATTACTGACCAACCGGCTGAGAAACAGACTACCATACCCGACATGGCAGCTACTCCAGACAGACGAACGTCAGCTTTGGACGTCCTTGCTGATCAAGCAGCTGGTGTCGTTCCTTCTTCGCAACTTGCACGCAGCGGAGGCGTGACTCTAGAAGCTGAGGTTGCGTTGAGCACAGGAGGTAGACTTTCCGAAGCTACTTCGGGTAAGCGTCATGGACCTCGCAAGCGCAAGCAGTCTGCAGAGTCCGCCAGTACAGAAAAAAGTTCGATAATACTAGTTGGTGAGTCGACTTTGGAAGGAGATCTCGTAGCTTCTGCAAAGCAGAGAGACAAACGTGTACCACGAGCGTCGTCCACTACACCGGACTTACGGACATCTTCTTCGATACCAGCACTAACGATAACTGTGCAGCGTGCTGCAAGCGAAGAGCACACGACTTCTGTTGCATACGTTTCGAGTCACGGCCCGTCGGATTCCTTCAGATTACGACCTGTAACACCTGGCGGAAATGACGTGACACCTGCAGGTCCATCTGCCTCGCCTCAAACCAGTGGTAGCTCCTCACGAATAGACAATGCTGCTACAACGCGACATCCTAATGGACGCGCGGCGAGCTCGACGTCTGTTAGCCCTCCTCTTGCACGCGTTACGGCTGGCCAGCGTAGAAACTCGGCAACACCCTCTGTGGACGCCGACGTGGATGCAGAAGGTGATGAAGTCGAGTCCGAGGACGATGACGATGCTGATGCTGAGGTCGATCAGCTCAAAGGTGATTCTCACCCTCGAAAGGGCAGCTCAACGAGAAGGGGGAAAGGATCAACACCTGTGCCCAGCTCGAGCGAAGATGCTAATAGTAGACGATGGCTAGAGATTCTTGGTAGGTTCTTTTTGTATTTCCTTAGTTCTCGTTTCATAGGAACTTATCCCTATTGTTGCTTTCGTAGGCCGAAAGGACTCGTAGCACTTGTCTTCCCACAGCACTGCGCCCTTTGCATATGATTTATATGTTTTCACTGTTATGTGTCGCTTTGCTTCACTGTTTGCTCTTGTCTGCTTTCGTCTTCGTTATTTCGTACCTTGGTTCACTCGGCCGTTGCCGAATCGTTTTTGCTTCGCTTCGGAACTTATGTCCGGTTTGTATCCATGCTAGTTTGAGAGTTGTTTGGCTCTAAATGAGTTACGAACGCTAATTGTATCCGTACGAATAGGATCCTACGTGTCTTCGCCTTTCGACAAGAATACATATATGCAATCAAGATCTAGAATAGCACGATCAGAAACTATGACACGGTTTTATGCAATATAAGTGCCAGACTATAGGTGACAAAGCAAACACAAAGCAGTCATTTTGCATAACAATCGAGATGCTATGTAAAGCACCGCTCAAAGTCTCCCGCACCATCACTCCTTGCGTATCTCTGACTCTCAATAAACTTATCCAACAAGCACAGTCCATCCCCTTCCTCATCGCCATCACAAAACTCAAGTGGCTGGAGTCTATCATTCACAAACATTCTCACAACAGTCATTCCAGAGCATTCCAGACGCTCAGTAACGAGCCGCGCCGAGAATGGTACAAGTCTCGAAGCGATCCACGTCCGTTCTCTATCTGGATTTCTCGGATCCAAGTCCCCACCCTCCTGACGGAACAATCCCAGAGCGCTGTATATTGATGTCATCACATTTTCGTGTGAGAAGTCGATGTACATTGGACGATCAAGTGGGAAGGTTGTGGGATTCGAGTCGAGTGTTCGATTTGTTTGCGTGTTGTCGTGTACGGGAGAGTTGGTAAGACGTGCGATGAGCTCGTTCACGTAACCAACTCCTTGCACAGGTCCAAGGTCTTGCCCATACCTTCCAAGGCAGTCAATCACGAAGTAATGTGCGAAGTGTTAATAACTTACCCATTCTTATAATATTTATTCAAATCTCCGTAATACTCAAAGTCTTCAAACTCTTTCAGATCAAACATCCCGCAGAAGTCACTCGGTTTAGACTTGGCGACGGTCTCCAAAGCACAGAGTTTGAATAGACTTGTTACGTCCTTCGCCGTGAGGCTCGCGCCAGGTGCCGATGCGTTTAAACGAGCTGCAATTCCCTCTGCGTAAATATTCTGCCAGACCTGTGTCTGTTTGTCGCTATTTCCAGCATTAGGGCACTGGTCGTTGTTTAGAGTGTTATTCGAATTTGGCTGGTACCTAACAATGAGCCAGAGCATTTTTGTAGTATTATTGTTTTGCTTACCAACTCCTCAATAATTAAATCTAGTAAAGGCTTCACTTTTCTATGGCTAGCATGAACGAAACCTAAGAAGTGAAGTGAATCTAAGACAGATGCACAGTGAAGGCGTCAAGGCATGCAGCATACCTGATGTCCAATTGTTAGCTGAATCGATTACTCGCTCTGATCCTGATGCTCGAATAAATGGAAGGTTGGTTTTATTGACAAGGTCTTTGTATCTTGTAAAATCATATTGACCAGAGTCGAAGGACCTAGCTAACTCGTAAGACCTACGTTCGGCTATTAAGTTTCCTACCAGTCTTTACTCACTGTGCCGCTCCGAATGCCACCAGGCCATCCTCTCCCAAATCGTATTTATAATTCTGCAGAAATTTTAATCTTGGGTCGAGGTAGGTCGTGACCAGTCCAAATTTCGATAGTGCTTCTCGTATGTCCTTCCCTTCGTTTTCGTCTGTTGCAGGAAAGCGAGCACCGTGTCTTTGTATCTAGTGCAATGAACTGAGCCGAGATTATTAGTTCCAGCAGTAAACCACTTACGATATTAACTTGTGTGATTCCGCATTGCGACGGCGGGTCCGTATAATCCGACGTTGAAAAATACGGAGTATACTGTGCCCAAGATTCTCTGATACCTTTCGGGAGTTGGATTTTCGGAGTGACAGGTTTAACTTTGTATTCCAACTCCGACAACGCAGTGAACAAGAGGGTGACCACAAATATGAAGATTATGAGCCCTGCGAGGAACAGCAGCTGTGATTCCTTCCTCCGGGCTGTACGCCTCACGAGGGCACTCTTAGTCTGGGGAGCACGTCGAGTTGGATGGCCTAGAAGCGGAGAGGCTTCGGCATCCGGCATGGACCTTGATTTCATGCCGTCGAGAAGAACCTGACGTCACAGGTGAAACAAGTCAGAAAGGTCCGGAATTTTCGCTGCAGCGACACCACTGGGTATTAAGTAGGGGGGACTGGTATATAACCTATATTTCTAAGGCACACGACCTGCTAGTATTATTATCTCGCATGACGTGGCAATTCATATTGTCAAAACGTACTGTTGTGCAAGTATTATCCTCTCCTTTTGCTGTACAGTGCAGAACGATTTCAAAGACGTGCGACTAGCACCGGAATACACACAAGATTGCTAGATTAAAGATTATGAACCGAGCCGAACCAAACCAAAGTACTGTATACTATCGTTAGAGTCAGAATAATGAAGCAGAGAAACAAAAACGACACAAAATCACCAAAGGTATTCAGAGGAGGGATGAGAGTGTGGATTGAGATAGGGTATGGAGCCTCATGTTCGCTGGAAAGCTTTTTGACCTGCGAAACACGAGAGGCGCGTCTTGCAGCTGTCGTAAACTGGTGACGTCGTTATCGGTGCTGCACACTAAGTTCAGTGGTTCCCAACTTCCCGCATTGATATCGGCTTGGATAGTGCTTGCTAGAACTTTCGTCATGGATCACTCATGACGAAGGTTACCCAATATGCGAATCTTAAGCTTCGGTATCAACAGCATACTGTAGTTTGCAGACGTTGCAACTCGAGAACACGAGTTTGTCTATAATTAGTGTATTATATGACTAAGCTACCTGATATTTATGGTGAGTGCTCACGTCATCACTGACGTCAGTTTCTTTCTCAGTTCTTCAACTTCTTGCTCCTCCGTAAACGGCGACATAAATCTTCGTTCGTGAAAACTTGCCAATACCAGTCCACCATTATTGTAAAACATCATAAAGACTGCTCGTAAACGCTAAATTGCGCGTAAATGAAGACTTTTTTTTTGCGCTGACAGCAAGGCGACCTTCCTATGGATCAGTATTTAACATTAAGCATAAATACTAAACATGTCCGTTAACAAGTGAGTAAAGCTACAGATGTCCAAAATTATGCGATAATAGTCCCGTGATGGATATAATGATGATGTGGTATCTAGGTCATCCAGAAAGCAAATGGAGTAATCAAAGATCATAATGAAGTGCCTGACCAGTCTCTCTTCAGTGGTCTGTCAACCGATCGCGGCGTTTGAGAGTACGTAGGTGGTTCATCGCAACGTCAACGAGGAGACGATCGTATCCTTGTCCCCTATATTTATTGAGGATATCGACTTGGATATGCAATGGGCCAGTAGAAGTTAACTTCGGGCCTTTGTGAATGAGACCAACGAAGTGGCGGTCGAGCGCCGTGCCGATAAGGTCTTTGGGATACTTCTCTCTCAACACCGGCAGCCACAATGCTTCGACTTCACGGTTGAACTGCGTTGTCTCGCCCGTGCCAACTACGTACCCTATTACGCGTCGTAGTTCGACCATCCCATCCCCTCTGTGGAATACCGACACCTTGTCCTTCCGAAGCCCCGGTCTGAAGTTCGGACTTGCTAGGTCAATCGTCTCGACGAGCACGTATGCGAATCCGGAAGGAAGATGGAGATAGGGGAGAGCGTGCACTTGTGGGGGTAACTCCGGATGTCGAGAGATGGTCTTCGCGGAACGGCCTTGATAGGCAGACAAGAGACAGACATTTGCTATCGCATCGCTGTCGGCGACCGATGCAGCTCTAATGCTGATCCGTTTCCGAGGAACAGTGCGTGTGGCGGTTAGAAGTGAAGGCACCAGCTGTTCGTGTGTCTGAGGGACATTGCAGAGCATAGTACGAGTGTTCAGATTCTATGCGTCTAGGCCTTGAAGACGTCATGAGAAGGAGGAAGCCCGGAGATCCCTCTCAAGAGACGGACGCAAATGTCCCGGGATTAAGCAGCAACAATTAGGAGCAGGGCCTTCAAGGAGGATGACGGTTTACCGAGAGAATTGAGGCGAGTCCTCATACGAGGTGTTCTGCATAAGTACTGACATTCTCCAAGGAGCACTTCCACTTCGAGATTACTAAATCACGGGAAATTGTTCGGAGTCTGTATATGGCTGGTATCTCGCCACTCCACATTATCCAGAGCCCTCAGTATCATTACTGATTGCGTTGGTCGCGAAAACACGCGCATAATCGACAGATACGAAAGGAGAATATGTCCGAGGATGACGCACAAAGGTGAGGGACGGAGATCAAGAAGAGCAGCAGGGAACCTTGGATGACTGGCTGAGTTTATGATCGCCAGGGGTGTTTCCTATCTAATCAATAGCGCCGAGATTCCCTGTGTTCATTGGGGTTTGTGGTAGCAACCACGGAAAGTCGGGCAACGGGGCGGGGGAATTAGCTTACGTGGACTAACAATCAAGATCAGCCGCCTCTCCGCTACCTAATGCTGATTTAATTGGTCCGGAGGAACTAGAGCCTGGTGAGCAATGAGTACCAGGTGACGTTGCACGCTGGGAGTTCAAGTATCTTGGCCACCCGAGTCGGGTGCGTCGCCGCTCTATCTTCATCCGCCTTTATCTTGCTTCGAAGGCTGGATACAGCCAAGGATGGAGAATCTTCTCCCTCGAATGAACAGCTTCTTCGATGCGGCGGAGCGCGGCGCAATTACGCTGACGCTTTCTCGGAACGATCCCTTCGATGCGGAATACCTCACCTCGGACGGTGCACCACTGTATCGTGTTTCAACGAGTAAGCGCTCAATGGGATATGGGCGCCTCGACGCAGAGATAACTAGCATACTGCGTATCCGCGCCGATCCTCCCGCCGCTTCTTCCACGTCACATTCGAATTCTAGCTCAACCCATGCAGGGCCGCGGTATCGGATCCGAAGATGCGTATCGACGAGACGAAGGACGAGTAGTATGAGCACACCGCTAGATACGATTGACGAAGTCGCCGACGCGAACTCGGGTGTGGACGCTGGTTCGGAGTCCGAGTTGCATTCGGATACGATAGCTGTGGCGACGATTGAGCGGAGGCCGTTCTCACTAACGCCCGTAAGATTAAAGTTTAATGGGAGGGAAGGGTCTGCGAGCAAGTTCCTACGACGCGAGAAGCCGTTCTCTAGGTGTGTGTACACACTATACATTTCGTTACGCTTGAGTACTTGAAAGTTCGCATGTTGACTTGTCTTGTTCGCCAGTACGCGATGTTTCTTCTCATCACTAACGGGTGACCTCCTGAGGTGGCAGCTCTCTACACCTACACCAAAGGTCCGTTCCTCCATCTTCCCTTCTCCCGTTATGAACATTCTCCATCTTATACATCCTTCTATTACTCCGAAATAACCTACAGCTATACAACTCCAGCAAAACCCGACTCGCTAAGTATTATGCACCGTTCCTCCCAATTAAGGGCGTGCTCTCTTCAAAAACGGCTGTGATTGAGATCACTGGGGGAGTAGAAAGCGATCGTGCGCTGGACGAGATTATCGTTACTCTCCTCCTTACCTTTATTTTATGAACATACAAATTTCTTGCATATACATAGTATGACTCACTACAACACCCAAGTCATGTGTATATATGCGTGTACATGTAGATTTCGTATCTTCTCATTTGGCTTCGTTGTCAATATCCTCAATATCCTTATTGCGTATAACTTATGGCACGAACTGTCCCAGTATGTGGTTATTGTGAAAGTCCTATTATGTACTCGTGTACTACTACTTACTAAATACTACGAGTCCTGGGTTGCAATATTACACGATCAAGTGAAAAACTATCTACTACGCGAAGTAAATAACAGTAAGTACGTTTGCATTAAGAAACATCATCGGCATTAATGAAAAGTAGAAGAGATGAGAGATGAAAGAAATATGAAAGATGAAAGATGAAAGACGAAAGATGAAAGTAGGGAAGAGAAGGGAAGAGAAGTCAATGAATTATCATACGAGTGAGAGTTCGCATGATAAGACTTTCATAGCGAACATACTGAGTGAGTAGTGTGGACGGTAGCAGACGGTATGGATACGGGAGCTGTCTTCTGTTGAGATGATCAGAAGAAGGATCAAGAGGTATAAAAAGCAAGGGTGTAGAACCGAAGCGAGTTATCGAACTGGCTTCTGAACATCTCCGTCAATCACGCGGGACCAGCAAGTTACCGGTACCAACGCACTGGCGAGGAGGGGGAACGAAGTATAGGTTGCGGTCAAATAAGTAAGGGGGAAGATTTCGTCAAGTGGGATCAAGAGTAAGTAGTACCCATTTGGGAACGAAATCGAGAACAGGAATGAAGAAAAGCAGGAACGCAGAAACGTCTGCAACTTGCAAGTAATTTACAAGTAATACACGCCTTTACCGCGCGGGCCACAACATCGTCTCGGAGCTCGGCTTGTCCGGCGACCCGGGTTCGTTCGTAATCGGCATTCCGTCACGATCGTATTCTGCACGATCATATTCCGAACCAGCTTCCTCCTGTTCTTGATCTTGGTCCGGTTCCTGTTCAGCGTAGTTATATGGGTATTCTGACATGCCATCCCAGCCCTGTGCCACGCTGTCTATCGTTGACGCGAGCGGCACGCGATTGTGATGCATAGAACCTGTCGAGAACTTTGTGAACTCGTATTCTGGATACGAGCTCACAGCGTCGCCGAAAAATGTGTAGTGAAAATGAGCGCTGGTGTTGGGTGGCGCAGTTGATCTGCGGGAGGCTTGTGACGGGTCTCGAGAAAGGGTTGATGTCGTCGTTGCAACTTGGCATGGCATATATACGTTCCCTAATGGATTACCGCTGTGATAGACGCAGATTAAGAACATGAGTTAAAGTAACGAAAAATGACATCACTCACCAATTTGAGCATCCTACACCGTGCCAACGACAACCGCACGAGAACAATTTCGACTGTCCCCCACGCTCAAAGTATGCCTTGTCGAGCGGAACAACGCTAGCAGACGCTCTTCCAGTTGCACTCCATGTCCCATGTTTCGACTTTGGTGTCCCACTCGTATGAATTAATGCGCCGCATCCCGTGGATTTGCGTATTCGTCGGGGTGAGAGCGCTGGCGAGCTCGGCTCGTCGAACGGTAAAGGGAGCGGGCTAGGCTCATATGGTTCCTCATCACCAAACTCCCACGTCTCAACTCCGCAATATAGAGCATATCCAGAACTAGGCACACCGTCCGCATCGTCGTCCGCCTTCGTCGGATCAACGATGTCCCCCACCCACGACTGGCTCGCCGAGCTACCATCCACCCATGGCGGTGGCACGGCCGGCGCTTGGGGAAACTGTCGGTTCGGTTGCTGGTATTGCGTTGCATTCAACGAGGTGTCAACGGAAGATCCGACATATACAGCGGAGGTCGATTGTCGAGCGCGGTGTCCGCTAATGGCGCCACGCCGTCTTAGCCTGCTTGTTTCCCCGGCGCGGACTAGGTCAGACATCGACAGAGGCTCTTCATCCTCCACGTCCTGAGATAGGGTATTTGAGAAGACTGAAGTAGACATTGAGGGAATAGCTTTGAGAAGAGACGGAAGGCTCTACGGGGACCCTTTAATGCGCGTTGAGATGTCCCCAGCACGAGGCTACGTCAAGTTAAACAGATGAACAAGATATTAGATCAAGATCGGAAGCAGTTACGAGAGATGCGCACGCCTGCGAGTCGGCTAGGTTGACTGCGGGCGTGGAGGAGGACGTCGTGGTAGAGTGGCAAGTAGTAGCAGGACGGAAACGCGCCTTCAAGACACACTGGATACACTTTGATTATGTAACCATTACCAAATAAATCATCACTCGGATTCACCGTACTGCTACTAACTAGACTGAATTATACGGAGAATCACTCTTGCCGCAGGTACACAAGCTAGTTAATAATATTGTACAGTGCATATTTACCCGCAGTTGATACTGATTAACAGATAAGACATACTAACTATACACACTAGATGCATTGCAGTGACAAAAGCTCAAAAACGGTCTAGACGGATTGAAGACGAAGGTGCGGGTGTCCAAAATGTTTGCGATATGAAAAGTAATATACACAATAAGAATCAAAGAAGCTTGTGGAGAAAAGCACGTGCTTTCCTGAAACTCTGTTCACGAAGCACACAGCGTCGCCAAAGTACCCATCATCTTCAAATAAGATGAAGGGGAGGACGAGGCACCCTTCCCCGCCGAGCCAATAAAGTTTGCAACCTTTCCGCTTTCTTTCCCCAGCTGCAAGTCTGCCGTATACTTCTTGACAGAGTCGCGCTTAATTCCGGTGAGTCTAGCGACCTCGTCCAGGACGCCCTTCTCGCCAAGGATCTCCGCTTCCGAAAGTAGGTTATAAATCCCAAGGAAAGTTTGAGAGCGCCCATTTGCCGTCAGGAGAATGGGATTCATGAAAAAACGATATGGCTTTTGAACAAAGACGACGCGTGGATCGTTAGGTTTTGGAGTGGTTCCTGGATGTGATAGATCTAGCCCGATACGAGGTGAGGAATAGACAATGGGTTTTCTACCCTGGAGGCTCGACCGCGGATAGATGGAGATAGAAGCTCTTTTGGAGGATGCCGGTGCATTCGAAGATAACGCAAACTTATCATTCTCAAGAGCGTCTTCGACTAAGTCTGCGATGTTCTTGCATCCACAAACGCGAAGCAACTCATCTACGAGCAGCGATGGGCCCGAGATTACCGCGCCGTCAGAAATGCGACGCATAGATCGGAATAGGACACCTCCGCGCGTATCTGAGCCACTCGATTGCCTTTCATGACCAAAGTATTTGGATGACTGGCTTGAAACAGGTCCACCAAAAGTCAGGTCAACGCCCTTTCGCGTCCCTCCTCGATAGCCGGTGAGGGACGTGGCCGACTTAGTCGGATCTATCGACTTCCGTGGAGCGCGATGAAAGTACCTATAAATAAGATTACATTATTAGTCACTCATCTTCTTCTTTCTTCCAATCAAAAAACGCAGTCTAGAAGTAAAGTAACGTTCTTACCATTTTCCAGCCTCTCTCTGCTCTGGTGTACCGTGTGCGAATGGGTCCTCGTGCCCTTCCTTTCGGAGGTAGAATTCCACCTCCAGAAGCTCGTACTCGGCTCGGAGGCTTTGTGTCGATACGACGAGTAAATGCTCGTGCATGAGCGAGCGTGCAATCTGGCCGAACCTGTATTGGATGTCTTCATGCGCAGAGATATCAGAAAGGTCGAGTAGCCCGGGGAGTTTAGATGGCCGAGGAGTTGTTTGTACGCAGTTGTTAGTCGTTGATGAAGATGAGATCGACGCCTGTGACTGGGAATGAGAATGGGAAGTTTGCGATGATGATGTGGACGTGGTGGGCAAAAATCGCGAGGTGGACCGCGTCAGCCGGACGCGCTTCACTCGGTCTTCAGGTGGTCCAACGGAATCACGAGAACAACTTGATAATGGCTTCTTCTTTCCGCCAAAAACCATACTGAATTCATTAATTTTCTTCCTGTATGAAGATCGCAGCGCGCTCGGTCTTTGACGTGAACACCAGAACGCGTTCCGATAGCCGAAAGTCCGTAAAACTCTTTTCCTTAGAAAGGGGAGCAAGGCCTGGAAGTACGAGACATAGGTCATGCGTGATTTAGAGAATTAATATCGGAAATACCTTTAATGTCGCGTAGATTGATGAAGGACCACGCTCACGAACGGAGACAAAGACAGCAAGGCATCAAAGACGCGTCAAAAACGCGTCGATCAACATTCAAGCAGCCCCGGCCCGTCCTGTCCGTGATCCACGTGATCCGAATTTCCCTTGTAGTGGAGTGGCACAGGCTAGGGACTGCAGCGGATAAGGCTATCCGCGGTGTCGTACCGCGGTTGACAAATTCCCACGGATACCACATCCGCGGATAACTTTCTCACGGTATCCGCGGTTTTTGCACATCCGTCAGATGTATATAGAAATCAAATACATCTACTGTAGACATTCATAACTTCCAAGTATTAGCATTCATTAACTAAAAAAAGACAAAAAAATTCTACTATGTCTCAGAACTATACCCTACACTCCTTAAATTCAATATTTTTCCCATCTTACAACATGTCCTTGTCTGACGAGATGTGAGTCATGTGACAGCTGTCTGCTTGTTTGTTTTACAGTAACCATTAACAAAATGCACTCTCTACATAAGTAATGGTTAGAAG